CCGATATTGTTCAGTGTTGGGTCGAGGTTGAGATTAGGATAGTTTAGTTGATGTTGATGCTAAGGCACGAATAGCCGTGACAGCAAACACTAAATGCCTGACCGGTGACAGCGGACCCTGCCGCGACCCGACCAAAGGAAAAAACCTCGGGGCCCTTGCCCCAAATTGCGCCTTGGGCAGTGCCGCCGCCTCGAGCACCTCCAAGTTCGGCGGCAGGAGCCCCAGCTGTGACTCCAGTGCCACAGCCTCCAGGCCCGGGGGGCGCCTTTCTGGTTGGTTGCAACGGAAACCGAACGGGTTTCCTTGAGGGGAAACTGCAGGTTTCCCAAAATCAGGCCACAACTTTGCGTTTGGCGTCGCTTGAAACCAAGCAAAAATGAGTCCTTTCAAAGCCCCTTATTTGCTGGGTTTGAGGGGAAACCACCCAAAGTTCGCTTCCGGGTTTCCCTAAGTTGGGGACCAACAATAAATAGGGTCGAGCAAAAACAAGCAAAGCAACTCCAAACAACTTCAAACGAATGACGGCAACAAACAAAACCGCTGGAAGTGTGGGGGCAAACAGCTTGCCAACACGGACAAAGAGTATATGCGGATGTCAAACAGACTGAAATTTGTAAGCAAGAGGGGCGCTCCTTGAAAGCGTTGTCAGGAAAGGAGAAACAATGGCTGACCCTTTCCTGGGAGCCTGACAATTGGCTTGGGCCCTGGGAAGCGCGCCGAAATCCCTGCGATGGGTTTTTGCTTCACGCTTTGCGCCCTGCCTGCGCAAGGCTTTCAGAAGGTAGTTAACGATAGTTTAGATAGATAGATACCTAGATAGCTAGGTAGAAAGAGGGACTTGAAAGAAAAAACCGACCGGACAGAAAGATAGACAGACAGGCAGGCAAACAAGCAGGCAGGCAGACAGACAGACAGACAGACAAACAAACACAGACCCTCAGCGGACTTCATTGTATAAAGACTTGTTGGTGCTCCCTCAGCGTCTCTTGGCGCACAGCTTTTGGCCATGTGTTAGCTGTGTCCAAAGGGCTTCGTCTAGGACCGTTCTTCGTCGGTGTAAAACCGGATTCGTTGTGAATCAGAGCTTTCGGTTCTTCCTGATCGGCTTCCTATCTGCATCTTGTCCTCGGGAAGAACTTGGTCCTGGATGATCGGAAGTGGTGGAGGTCCGTCTTTGTCGTTGTTCTTCTTATGTACTTGTGGTTGTGAAGGTTGTGTCGGTTGTGGTGGAGGCACGGCAACAGGCGGCCGAACAGGCGCCGCGCATGTTGTAGGGCAGGGGAAAACTACTCCAAATCATGTTGGGCGAGCCCTCCCCCAAAAAAAACAAAAATAGGGCGAGCAGCTCCACCCGCCAGGGCCCTTACTCAGGCTCGGGCGACTTGCGCATAGGCGCCATTCTCCTTCCCGCTGCCGAAACTTCCGTTGACAATCGCGCCGATGTCTGCCCAAACTCGATCCTAGCGACGCATTCGCTCTCAAAATGGCCTAAGCGTTGAGTGCCGAACTTGTCACCCAACCAGCTCCAAACTTCGGAATGTGTAAGCCCTCCACAGTTCTGGATCTTCTACCACTGACAATGAACCTTGACAGAGGAAGCCCCTCGAATGTTCCCCAAAACGGTCCACTTCAATGAACCCATTTGAACCATGGCCAGGTATATTCGGAGCCTACCGATCAACCAAACGGCGTCTGCGATTTTGTCCCACCTTGGATTTCTACTTTAAACTTTGCAAAGCAGAAACGGACTAGATGAAGGGTTGCTAGGACTTGCCAAAAAATGTGTGCAAGGCTACAACCAGGAAGCTAGCTGCACAACTTCCTTAACTTTTGGTTCCACAAACCTATTTGTAAAAGCTTACACAGGCCTTACTCATAGCTCCCCCCCCCCAACAAAAAACAGGTCACAGAATGCGCCAAGATTGCAGAAACGAATCGCTCACATGGCCCTCACTAGCTTGCCCAACAAAAACAGTATTTTGCACACTTTCATGGCCCAGAACCAACATGTGGCTAAAGTCCAGGAACTCTGGGAATGAAGTCCCAACCCAAGCCTTTGTTTTCAACTTTTTCCCTACCCAACACCTGAGTCTCGCCTTTGGGAAAAAATCGGCGGCCGAGGCGCTCCCACTCTTAGCCTCTTGCAGGTGGCCTCCACCGCCAGCACCTCCGCCGCCAGGTCCGAGCCCATGACCTCAGGGCTCAAAGCATATAGATCATGCATACGCAAGATATAAGTATATATATGCACACGCACGCACACATATCTATGTGTATATATACTTATATATACATACCTACATATATATATATATATGTATATATATACATGTATATATGAATTTGAACACCTTGACATGCGCGCGCACGCATATCTATGTATATATAGATGCACACCTTTGCAGGCGCGCACACACACACATATCTATGTGTATATATGATATATATATATATACATATACATAGCTATTTGCACACCTTCAAGCGCGCGCGCACACACATATCTATGTATATATATGCACAGCTTTGCACGCGCGCACACACACATATCTATGTATGTATATAAATATATGTATATATATATGTATTTCTATATATGCACACCTTTGCACGCGCGCACACAACTATCTATGTATATATATGCACGCCTTTACACGCGCGCACACACACAAATCTATGTATACATATATATGTATGTATGTATGCACACCTTTACACGCGCACACACATATCTATATATATATATATGCACACCTTTGCACGCGCGCACACACACATATCTATGTATGTGTATATATGCACACCTTGACACGCGTGCATATACACCTTGACACGCGCGCACACACATATCTATGTATATATATATATATCCACAGCTTTACACGCGCGCACACACACATATCTATGTATACATATGCATATATATATATATATATGCACACCTTTACAGGCGCTCACACACATATCTATGATTATCTATGTAAAAAATAAACAAATGTATATATATATATATGCACACCCTTACACGCGCACACACATATCTATGTATATACATATATATATGCACACCTTTACATGCGAGCATGTTCATGTGTATATATATATGTATATATATATATATGTGCACCTTTACACGCGCACACACACATCTATGTATATATATATATACATATATATATACATATATATATATACATGTATATATATATATATTTGCACACCTGTACACGTGCTCACACAAATATCTGTAAATATATATATATATATACACCTATGCACGCCTTTACACGCACACACATATCTATGTATATATCTATATGCACACCTTTACACGCGGGCACACGCACACATATCTATGTATATATATATATATATGCACAACACCTTTGCACGCGCGCACACACATTTCTATGTATATATTTTTATATATATATATATTTATTTATCTATGTATATAAATGTGCCCGTCTAAACCCGCGCTCGCACACACACACACATGCGCAAACACACACACACACAAACACAAACAAGCACCAACACCAACACCAACACCAACACCAACACCACCACACAAACAAACACACTCAAACACAAACACAGACACAGACACAAGCACACAGACACAAACACAGACGCACAACACACACACACAACACACCCACGAACGCGCACACACACACACAACACACACACACACACAACACACACACAAAACACACACACACAACGCACAAAACACGCAAAACACACAAAACACACAAAACACACAAAACACGCAAACCACACAAAACACACAAAACACACACACCACACAAAACACACAACACACACACACAAAACACACAAAACACACAACACACACACACACAGAGCACACACACACACACATGCACACACGCACACACCCACACACACACACACAAAACACACACACACAAACACGAACAGAAACACAAACAGAAACACAAACACAAGCACACACGCACACGCACACAAACACAAACACAAACACAACACAACTCGGATATCTAGGTGAGCGGACATATGGAGCATATATCAGGACTCACCCACGGAGTCACTCAAAACAGGCGTAACACTATGCGGTTTCGTTTCTTTTTACGGAACAATGACAAATGACAAATCACTGAAACCCGCTATGCCCATCTCACACATTGAGCACAACAGCATAGCTTCTAGATATGCTGGCCGAGCCTCAAATGTAGTTTCCGCCGACTAGATGCAGGCCCTTCAACCAGCTCTTCAGATTTGTTTACCTGAAATTTTTGAGACTATCTTGAACGGGAACTGTATGCGTTGTGTTCTGGCGCTCAACCATTGCCCGACCAGGTGCTCATGAATCGCAAGGTTTCAAGGGGATCAATCCATTTTTACAGGGGCTCGCTTCCGTGGGAGAATGGATCCAGTCAAAGGAGAATTTCAGAGCGATGGCCGTCGACAAACGGGACAATGGTATTGCTAACGTCAGTGAGGTCTGTCAAAGCCCCCTACCGCGGCAAATAGAAACACAGGGGCTGGGTTAAGGTTTGAACTGGGATGATCCTGCGTAAGTAAGCCCCAACTCCGCGGGTTCTAACAGACCTGAACTGGAAACACATCCATTGATATCTCGCAACAAGTAATAAGCGCGTTGGGAAAAGGTATCAGGCAGGCAAAAGAAACAGTCGATTTGTGCAAGTTTTGGGAAGCGGAAACAAGACTCTGGCCCCAACAGTAGATATTGTACTTGCGCCTGTGTGTGGGTCAGGAGGCGTGGGAAAAAGGGATTTGCTGGGATGACAGGGGTGTGGGGACTGCCCCATGCAAACCTTTACTAACCGGGTTCGCACTGCGGCTGGCGCGGCTAAAATGAAACCCACGTTCCACCTCTGGCCTGCGGGAATGGCCCTGAGACGGAGCGGTCGGCTGGATTCACGCTGCTTGCGAAGACCTGCAAGAGCACCTCGCAACCTGAGGGGAAGTCCCGTTGAAGTGCAAGTTGCTCTTGGCTTCCTGCCCAAACTTCTCGCAAAAAAAGACATGCCTCACAGCCCTCATGTCTTCGCAGTTTTGCAGGTATCCTTTTTGCGGTTTGAGTGAGAAACCTAAAGAAAAGCATCTGTTTTGGCCCCCTTTTCCCCATTTGGACAACATAACCCTGACAGAGAGCGGACTCCACAATCAAAAGCTGCGACCATTTTGAGAGAAAGGCGACTTCAGTGTGGAACTCTCAGCGCCCCACGGGTGGAACTTCCCAGGTGGAACTTCCGGCGCAGGTCTCCCGGCCGCGGGAGGCTAAAGTTTCGGAGCCCGAAGCTGGCGCTGGAAGCGGCCACCAACGCCAGCATTCTTAGCACGTGGAGGCCGGCCACCCCGCAGTCTTCTGAAACATCAATAAATTCAGAAAGACACTCATTTCACAATGGCTGCCAAAAAGCGATGATTACATTGTGCAAAAGGGCAAATAGAAAGATCCCCGAACACAGGGTTCCCAACACGTCCCATGAAAATGCACTCCCCCCAAAACCAACATTTAACCCCAAAATGTTCCCGAACAACAGGATCCTCTCAACCGCTTTTTGTTAATCTGCAGAGGAGGAAGCCCCGTCCATTTCAAGCCACGGCGCTGCGCGGGCAAACTGGCAGCTGGGGGAAGTGCAGAGCCAAGGGCCAGGACGGGCAGCATCCAGCGAGCAATTGCCATGACGCCCACCGAGATGTCTGATTGTTGCTCCTACGCTTGACAGGTGTTTCGGAAAAAAGCCTGCGTGGCACTCTGGACAGCGGAAGAAGCTACGCTTGACGTTGTTCATCTTGAGCCTGGCAGCGCGCATTTGTGGTGTTCCGATCTCCTGGTGCGAAGCCTGCCACTCGCCGCAGGTGGGTCTCCATTGCGGCATGTGCGTACACAAAATCTCGAGTTCGCAGGTGCAGGAACTCATATATCGGCGCACGGCGTCTCATGTAAAAAACTAACAAACTCTCAAGCTGGAGTATGTGTATAAAGTTTTGTTTTCTCAAAAGCTCCTTCACATTGGATGACCACTGAGGCAAGCCACAAAAGAACATATTTTCCAACTAAATGGGGAAAGTTACACATGATCATTTGGCCAGGAGTATTGATCAACCTGCCATACTAAACAATAAAACAGCCATGGAGGAATGCGCGTCTCCCAGGCGTTGTGCGACTAGACTTCCCCCGAGACTTCGCCAAAGGCCCAAAGCAGATTTAAAGAAATGTTGCGCGACATGAATCTGCTGCACGCGGGCACCAAGGTTTTCTTCAAACTCTACTGCGTGGGCGTTTTCCGAGCAGCTAATAAAGACGACGAAGTCGTTGTCACGCAGTAGGGTTACGCACGGCTAAGAAGGTAGGGTGTGAGTTCGCGCACACGCACCGACTGATTGTGTTCGTGGCCCAGGGGACGGCGACGTCTTTGTCCGGTTTGGCAACCCAAAGCGAACCACCGATTTTGGGAGCTGTGGCAGCCCGCACTGCAGAAAGTGCATGAGGTCATCCCAATCACAGGCGCCGTCAAGGGGAACAAAAACATGTTTGAATACAAGCTATTGCGGGCCCCAACAAAATGTAAAGGAACCTGCCATGCCGAAGTTGCGACCCTTCGAACAAGATGCAATTGGCATCCACAGCGGCAAGTAAGTCGCGCTCTCCCCCGTGATCTCCCAGGATTGCGTCTTTAATACCTGTTTTATTCAGGCATGCTTGTAAATATATTCATTATCATCCGTTAGTTCCTTCAAACAATGACATACCTATTTCAAATATATATATATACATATACATATATACATATATATATACATATATACACATATATATAATTATATAACTCATATTCTACAACTTTACAAATATTTGTTGTTGTTGTTGTTGCAGCAGCAGCAGCAGCATGCCGCTGTTGCTGTTGCTGTTGCTGTTGCTGTTGCTGTTGCTGTTGCTGTTGTTGTTGTTGTTGTTGTTGTTGTTGTTGTTGCTGCTGCTGCTGCTGCTGTTGTTGTTGTTGTTGTTGTTGTTGTTGTTGTTGTTGTTGTTGTTGTTGTTGTTGTTGTTGTTGTTGTTGTTGTTGTTGTTGTTGTTGTTGTTGTTGTTGTTGTTGTTGTTGTTGTTGTTGTTGTTGTTGTTGTTGTTGTTGTTGTTGTTGTTGTTGTTGTTGTTGTTGTTGTTGTTGTTGTTGTTGTTGTTGTTGTTGTTGTTTAGTAATACGAGGAAGCAAGCGGGGTATGCTCCGCGGGTGTCGAACTTTCAGCCTTTGCAAATCACGCATACAAATCAACATCTACACACCAACATGCATGAGCTCGCTTGATCCATATGGTGTAGTTTCGCACTTGTTTTATCGAAAATTCGGCGGAGGGCAACTATCCTGGCGCAGGTCCGTCACTCTTGCATTGCATGGCCGGTGCCAGGAAAACTGCTGCCCCAACAAAATATCTGGCTTGCCTTTTCCTCCCTGCCAAACACGTTGACCCCCGTCAAGGAAACCGCACACACGTACAGCAGTTGAATTCATGAAGGCGTCCGGAAAGCTGCCCCACAACCCAGATCGATCATCTGCACAACCAAAACACGAACGGTCTCCAAGACAAATCCCCGGGCTTGGTTCCCTTCGTGGAATCCTTATAATGCCTGTCTACGTTCCCTAATTCCCGGGGGCTCCATGACCATCCCTTGCAACCGCAAGCAAAAGGGCGCTTTGACCACTGGCCGCCACCTCGATGGACCAAACGTGTCCACCATGTGAATGGTTGTGGCCTGCCTTCCTGCCGTTTTCCTTGCGGAAGCACTCTTGCAGCACGAGCTCCTGCGCAACTTGCGCGAGGGCATTGAGTTGGAGTCCATTGGACTTCCAATCAAAACGTACCTGGACGGCTATTGGCGCTTTCTTGAAACATAACTTTTGGCTGCTAGGTGGATAATACCACATTTTCGTGGAATGCCGTGGCATCAAAGTGAAGACTTGAATCATGTTGCGCCATAAAGGATGTAGGTTGCTGCTCGTTGCCCACAAATACCTCTATCAATATTGCATCCTTACAATGGTCAGCGCCAAACCCAGAATATGTGTCATTGCTTTTAACGGTATACCTGCGCGATTTCAGGATTTCAATCCAATCAAGCACCAAAGACCAACAAATGGGCATCTTTGAGGTCCGTGAAAGGGTTGGCCCCAACAAGTTGGGACGCAAAAACGGAAAACAGTCTTGACCGGTCCTTGTGCTTTTGGGGTATGTTGCGTGTTATACGTTTCCCACTTCATGTGGCCCCCCTCTTTCTTCCTTGGCAGAATCAGGGGCTGGCGGAAAATCAGAGATGCAACACTCGTCCTAGTTGGCTCGCCAAACCAACCATGTTGGGGGCCTCCCATGATTTTGGTTAAACAACGAATTACCCATCCTGCCAGAAGAGAAGAGGAACCAACCATTCCCATTTTTTCTGCCTATCCCGAGAAACAGCCCTCAGCCATACACCTGAGCATCGCTTTTCGTCCTCGATCGGGCACTGATTGGCGTGCCCCTTCACTGGTCCTTGGCAAGGCAAAGGTGATCATTTGTCACCGACAGGATTGCTGACATAGAATGAGCAAAATGGCCAAGCACATGTCTGCGAGTGTCTGGTCCTTAGTCTTGCTTATCTTCTTACCGATGTTGACCCAAGGTTCAACTCGAACCAAGCGCATTCATACGCGGGCGCCCCCCCCCCCCCAGAAAAAAAAAAGAGCAAACAACAAGAACAAAACAAGTGCGCTTCCCGCCAAAATATTGAAATACCTCCGCATAAATGAGACACATCCATCAACGCCAAGGAATTCATGAATCCGGGGGCCCCTCACTTTGCCCTAAGGTTCTGGACGTGCAAGGTTAAGCTTTTGAGAGGTTGACTAAACATGGTTGCCGCATGGCAAGGCAGTGGGAAAACCAGGTCCGGTCGAACACATTGCAAGTGACAGCTTTGGCTGATTTCATGCCAATCATCGAGGAGTCTACTGACTGACCCGTCTTCCCGGGTCATTCAGGTTGCATGTTTGTTCCCCCCTTTTAGCATTTCCCACTGCATCTTGCCCGCCTCCCCCGTCGTCCAGCATCCCCTTCCAAGCTCTCTCCTGCCGGCTTTGGACATGTACGGTTGCCCCAAGAGAGGACTATGATGCATCTGCTCCGTGATGCAAACCCGTTGAAAATACAACATGCTTGCAAGCACCAGTCATCTTGGAAAAGCACAAGCAGCGGCTCTCGTGATGTGTAATAGCCTTTCTGTGAATAGGAACCCTCCCTCCAAACTCCAAACCTGACGTCAACTGACCAAGAACACCATATGAAACTTGTTGAACCAGGGGGCTCGGCGAAGCATATCTTGAACACCCCAAGATGGTGTTGTTCCAGAAACCTTCTACACTCCTGGAGGTCCTTTTATCTGCCCGCAGAAAAAACATGTGGCGGTTTAACGGAGCGAACAGGCACATTTTCTATCACAGATTTCTGTGGGAAAACAGATTCGGCGCTCTTTTTTTGGCAGTTGATGATACACGCAGATCTCCTCCAAACATAAAGGAAAAAGGCACAACTGGAGGTTTCCAAGACCGCCCAGTCCATGAAGTGGTCTGCCACCGACCGCAGCTCCCCACACCTCACGCGTGGCTGATGCACACATACTGTATGCAAATAGCTAAGGCAAAAGGCATCACACTCATGCTGTTTGAAAAGCAGAAGCCAAAGGAATTAACTGGGTAATCAAGCGAAGCCCAAAGCAAGCCAACGATTTTCAGGGCTCCCCTAACGCAGGCAACCTACGAACACCCATGTTAAGCTCGATTGGTTAACGAGCAAGCGGTGCAATGGTCAATACAACTTGGCATCAGGAAAACAACTTGGCACGCTTTTGGTCGATTGAAAGGGACAGGGGCGTTTTCAGGTTGCAGAATTTCTGGGGCTGGGGACGCGACTTGCGCCGTGGCCACATGTTCTGTGGGTGTCACATGGCTCCCTGAAAAGGAACCCTTAGCCTCACGTTGGCTCTCCTCTTTTCATGGCACACCTGGGCACATGGACTTTTCCGGGCCGGGAAAGGGCCTTCTGGTTTGTTCCGAGAACCCGCGGAGTGGGGCCGTGCTCGTTTCAGGGTTTATTTGAGCCTTCAAAGTTGTGTCTTAACGTTCATGTCACTGGGTGCCTCCCCCCCAAACAAAATACATAAATAACAACTAAAGGTTTAAGCGGAACACCATTTAGGGATCCGGATGACTTAAAAAAAATACAATGATTCGCAAGGTGGGTGTCCAGGGTTGACAGGATCTGACCAATGCTCGACTGCAAAATGACCAAGAGAAAACCAACCAAAAGGTTGTTCGGCAGTTGGGCTGCCATATTTTGGTTCTGTTTCTCCTGGCCCCCTTCCGTCGTAGAGCAAGTGTGCGCGGGGGGCTCTTCTCTACGTTTTGACCCAGGCTGCTCAAACACACGCATTGCATCCCCGAACACCCAGTCTGCAGAAACAAAGCCCAGAATGGCCCCTCATTTTCACAGGATGGCATTTGGCAGTGGGGAAGGAACCACAACACCAGTTCGAATTTGATCTCTTCCCTTTCAATTGGCACATTTCATTGAAAGTACACAACGCTAATGCATGAAAGGCATCACCTTCTCTCAGGCTCAGCGCACGTCGTCCACGAAGGAACTCATATGAAGTCCATGGCCGAACATCGAACCGATTACGCGTAGCCCCTGAGAATAATGTGGGATATTCCAATAATAGGCCCGCATATGATCACAACGCACAATTGTATTGGTTTGAAGAAAAACCCAAAGAAACCCACCATTTGGAGCGTCCCTTGCAAAAAAACACGCTCAAATAGTGGTGTCTCTTTTGATTTTCCTTTTGGGTGGGAACCGCCCGAATCGTCGCGTCTCTCGCCTGCCCAGCTCGTCCATGAGGCGCTGGTAGGTTTCTTTGGGCCAGCGCCGCAGGCGCGCCGACGAGGCGGCGAAGATGCCCTCGGAGGGGGCGGCGGGGGGGGGCGGGGGCGGGTTCCTCAAACATGGGGGGCCAGTTTGTTTTGGGTTTCCCAGAAACAATTGGCTTGTTATTTTCTGACACGAGCGCTGTCTGTTGGGGGGCGAGGGGGGGGGGTAGCGGGGTAACAATTGTCTTGCGGGGCTTTGTTTTCGTGCCGGAGCGCCTCCAGATTCCAAAGGTGAGCCCCTTCAAATTCCAAAGGCAAGTCACAAGCAATAACGGGTATCAATGGTCCACCCGCAACTATGTAAAGAATGAAAGGGGTGGCCGCGCATACTTTGTGGCTTGGGCTGTCCCTTCCTGCCCTTCATCTACCTGCCCTTCATCTACCCGGGTTCCGATGGTGGCTCAGGTGGTGAACAGAAAATGCTGACAAGGATGGCCAGATTCCATTTCGCTGCGCGTGACAGATGCGCGCCCGTGGCCAACAAGATGCGCACATGAAATAGAACCAACAACGTCTGAACTGGCAAATGCCATTCTGGGCCAATATTGCGCGCATTACACCGGCAACTGGGAGTGTCACTTTGGACTTTAGGGTTCTTAGATCCAAACACGAAGCTTTTGGGCTACATGAGTAAGTCACATGTCACGCAGTTTGTTCCAGCGAAGCTGGGTGACGGAAGTTTCTAGAAAAACATGTAGGAGATGAATCGTTTTTGTGGAGCATCTCTTCTCTCCTTTCTCTTCTCTGATCATCTTGTCCCTTCTTCTCTTTTGCTCTTTCTCTTTCTCTTATCTTTTCTTTCTTATCTTTCTCTTCCTCCCTCTTCTCTTTGCACTCTATTTCTCTTTGTCTTTTCTCTTCTCTTTTATTTCTCTTTTCTTTCTCTTTCTCTTTATCTTTCTCTTTCTCTTTATCGTTATCTTACCCTTCTTTTCTTTTCTTTTTCCTTTCTCTTTTTCTTTACTTTCTCTTGTCTACTCTTCTCTTCCTCTTTCTCTTTTTCTATATCTTCTCTTCTCGTTTCTTTCTCTTTCTCTGTCTCTCTCTCTCTCTCTCCCTCTCTCTCTCTCTCTCTCTCTCTCTCTCTGTCCATTTGATTTATCTGTCTACCTTTTCTATCTACCTATTTATCTATCTATCTATCTATATATTTATTTTGCACCTGACCATGCCAAAGTGCTGCGCCTGCCACGAAGTCTGTACTCGACCTTGCGACTGCCATGCAATCTGTGCAATCCGTGTGAACGCGCAGACCATTGGGGTCCTTTCCGAACCCACGGCAAGACCGCAAGCTAAGCAGAGGTAGCCTTCGCGATCTGGGCAGCCTGCAATATGCTACGCCTGCCACACAATTCCTGCCTTCTCTACCTCCTTCTTTGTATTTCTTGATTGCTTTCTCTCTTTGTTTGCACCACTCTGCTGAATCAACTCTTCGTATGACCCAACGATGATAACACCCCTGCTGCGGCAAAACCACACGGATTCTCATTTTTGGGGAGCATCTTGTGTTCATGTATCACTGACAGACGTGTGCCTGCGTATTTATGTGTATGCATACGTGTGCTTAAGTGGGGGGGGGGGGTTACCATGTAATGTCGCACCTGGTTTAATACTGGCGCCCTGATTTATTTCGAGTTTCCTCGGCTTAAATGAGAACCCCCCCATGGTTTCGGAGCATGAATTATGTCAAGTTTTGCTGCCAACAACTAGATCCCGATTATCCCAAAAGCGTTTTACAGCATGCATTTGCGCCACAAAAACTGAAACTGCGGAAGATGAAACCATGGCCGATGTATCTGACAAGTGCTGCGTTTTGGCGAAGTTGTCTATATGCGCTGGTGCGCAAGAGCTACTCTGCTCAACCATTGAATGCTTCTTGAGCCTACGCACGCACATGCCAGACAGCCCCGTAAACAAGCTCGTCAATTACCCTGCTTCCAAGACGCAGCCCAGTTTTAGCATGCGATCCCAGCATTAGCTCATGATCTAACATACTGAGGGGTAGGGTAACTTAGCACCAAAACAAACCTGCGCATTGGCGGCGCTGCGAAACTAAAGCTATGCATAGCAGCGCTGCGCTACGCAGCAAAGCGCGCGAACAGTTACCGTGCCAGTTGCTATGCGCAGGTTGCCCTACGCAAGTTGCTATGCGTAAGTAGGCTCTGTGCTATAATCAGCCGGGTCAGGGGAGACTCGAGCCCGAGGCCGCTCTTCCAAGAGACAGCGCGCAAGCCACGAGGCAAACTTGCGAGCGAGCCCGCTTCCACGCACGATCCCCGCAGATGGTTCGTCGGCGAGCTTTCAAATTCGAACGGCACCACAGCGAGAGCGCTCCGACACGCACGATCCCCGCAGAGGGTTCCTCGGCCACGTTGAAAATGCTCCGACACGCAGGGTTCATCCTGCCAATGCCCGCCAGACCCACCCCCGGCTAAGAAAGAAGATAGAATTGAAGGCTGCGTGAGCTAGGCTGCGTAAGCTAAGCTGCGTAGGCGAGGCTGTGTGAGCTAGGCTGCGTAAGCTAGGCTGCGTACGTCCGGCTGCGTAAGCTAGGCTGCTTAAGTGCGACTGCGTAAGCTAGGCTGCTTGAGTCCGGCTGCGTAAGCTCGGCTGCTTAAGTTCGGCTGCGTAAGCTAGGCTGCTCAAGTCCGGCTGCGTAAGCTAGGGCTTCAGTCAGGCTGCGTAAGCTAGGCTGCCTGAGTCAGGCTGCGTAAGCTACGCTGCTTCAGTCAGGCTGCGTAAGCTAGGCTGCGTGCGCAAGTCAGGCGGCGTAAGCTATGGCCATAAGCTGAGCATGTCAAGCTGAGAATGTCAGGCTGAGACCGTCAAGCTGAGACCGTCAAGCTGAGAACGTCAAGCTGACAATGTGAAGCGGTGCAACAGAGCAACCCTTTCTTCCAAAGAACCCTTTGCTAACGCTTTTGGGAAAACAACTCCGGGCAAAAAAGCGGGCAAAACACATCGGGCAAACAAATCACAGGGCAAACATTGGGATTTCCTTTTGTAGAAGTGGCCCCCAAACCATGAAATTTACGATAACTGCTTTGCACAAAGTAAGGAAAACCAGTCACACAAAGGGGGTTGCCCACAAAAGGCCCTGATTCGGTTTAAGGTGATTGTTTTGAGAGTTCCTTTCATGTCCAACTTTCTTTGAGGGGGTGACTGAAACTTCCAAGTCAAAGCCTTAGCCTTTACCTTTAATGGTCAGTTCGCCTACCCAAGCTCTTCTCAGCTCAAAGGGTAAAGAGAGGCCTGTGAGCTAGGAAATCCTTTTTGCAAGGGACCAAACCATCAAATTTAAGATAACTTCTTTACACAAAGCAAGCCCAATCACCCATGCCCACGGGAGCCAGTGATCCTGTTTGATATGAGTGTTCAGGGGTCTTCTTTCATGTCCTTTACAAAGTCCTGGTAAATCGTCCTGGACATGCTAAATTCAAACTAGGCAATACTAAGCTAAGCACCGGGAATCTAAAAGGAAGTCCTGGCAATACTGAATTAGACTAGGCAGTACTGAACCAAGTGCTGGGCATCTAAAAGGGTCCTGGCAATGCAAAAACTAAACTAGGAAGTCCTGGCAATACTAATCTTAGACTAGGCAATGCGAAACTAAGTTCTGGCAGTCCAACAGGAAGTGCTTGCAATACTGAACTATGTAGTGGCAAGACTAAAACAATACTGAAGTCATCCAAGCTCCCTGCCAGAGCGCTATTCACCCCGAGCACTGGTTTAACCGTTGAGGGGGATGGGGGCGGGACCGGCATCAAACAAGGTCCAACATTATGTATATATATATATATATATATATTTATTTATGCATGCAAAGCCAAGCAGCATTGAAAAGGACTCCGTTGCACAGGGGCCTGCCAGGGGCCCGAATCGCGGAGTCGCCGGACCAGATCGGGCACATCGGGCACGACAGCGTCGCATCTTTTCTCAACTTGTGTCGCATAATTCGAAAAAAATCCCAAGTAAGAATCTTCATAGGTGAGGTCACGCATCTAAGCCGGTAAAGCGGCTGACGACCGGATCAGTTCATGACCCGCTTTCAAGTGACTAGACCACTCATTTCAGAGTCACTCAAAGTCGGTGACTTTTGGACCGCCCGAAAGGAATCAAGCGCTCCTCAAGCCTACAAAGAACACAACCCTCCCTGCAAGCCAGTGGAATGTTCCAAACTTGGTATATATAAAAAGGGACCGCAATTCCTTTTGGACTCCCCTCAAGCAGCCCAATTTCGGACAACCCCATAATATCTTCACTGTGGCTGTTCCCTTGCAGGGCTTGATGGACTCTAGGCCAAGACGGGGCTGCCCCTGTTGGAATTGTGGTTGAGATTTGTCTTGGGGTGAGTGATTCGATTAGGGCTAGCTCATAAGCTTCCGGGTCGGTTCGTTAAGGGTTCTTGGAGTGTTGCGGCTGGATCTAGGCTGGGTGCAGGATACTACAAAACTGGCAAAGGGTTGGTTAAGGGCGGATTGTGGGTTGGGTTGGTCGAATGACTTGAGCCTGTGGAAAGTGCCAAGACCATTCAAGTGCAAGAAACCGCTGCCCCGTTTGGTACATCTGATCTGCGGTGTTCTACCTGGTGTTGTGAGAATTCATGCTTTGGCGAGACTGTGGGCCCAAAGGACACTTCGGAAGGGGTTCCGTGGGGCCTTGAACAAATAAGAACCAATCCTCGTGTGTATAGCACCGATATTAGGGTGCGGGGATGATTTGAACCAACAGGCGGGATCGCTCGCCTGCGCAAGTCCCCCAGGAAATGCTGGTACCATGCGCCCAGCGGGCGCACACTCGGCTCACACAGCTTGATGCGGCCCCATTTCTGGGAGTTGTACTTCCTGGGTCGAAACATGTCGGGTTCGGGACGTTGAGGTCTGGATTTGGATTTCGAAGCCGTTGATCTGGGCTGAGTGACCAGGAACGGACCCAGTTAATGTTTTGGGTTGATACAAGAAACCCCGGCGCTGAGAGATACCCGCCGTTTAACTTAAACCTCTATTGACCCCGGATTAATACACCCATCAAATTCAGAACGTTTATTCATCCGGCGTTCCCATTGTTTCAACAACCTCCTTTTGATTTCCCTTTAACAGGGACATGGGTCCAATAGTTCCAGTGCCCAACCCTGATGCCCAGGTGCTGTGCTTGATCTGGCCATCACAAGACATAAGACTTTCGATCATAGTCGTGGCTCCCTTGGGAATCTTATAGCGGTTGCCAAACATCTGTACAAAACGGGCGTCACGGGCGTCATGGCGCCCAAAGTTCAGCGGCCGGCCAAACAAGAAGCTTGGCGTGGACCAATCCGTTCCCATCCCAAAGGGAAAACATGGGGCAAAGTTCTGCCGCTACGCGTGTGCATTTGTGCATTTGGGTGTCTATATTGGGGGACCCCCCTCTCCCCGAAAAAAGGAAGGCGGTTTTCCCCTTGGTGTGCCTTTAAAAACACAAAACAGGGGCACAAAAAACACACGCCCATTTGGAAGACGAACCGCACCCAATCGATTTCGACGCGTTCCGAATCAATTTCGACGCGTTCCGAATCAAGCCCTCGTATTGCCCCAGACCAGTTGGCTAAAGTTGCACTCGAGCCGCGAGGCCGTCTCAAAAAACCAACGGCCTGGAGGTCTGGGTTGCTCCGAGATACTCGATATCGAAGAAGGGGTTGAAGGGGTTGAACTCTCCTGCACATGGCCCCCGAGCGTGGAAACCTTCCGAACCTCCCACTCCAACGCTTAGAACCTTACAGACTCTCATAAGGGTTCTGAGTCCAAACAACTCGGGCAATGGAAGGAAATTGACACTTGTGCTCTTGGGGGTTAGCACATTGACTTCTGGCGACAACATGGTGATACAGGTTGGAACTTTTCGGGGCATGAGGTCCTAAGCTGCTAAGCTCTAAGCTAGACGCTGAGGCAAGAATTCCGTGGATCCTCTGCATGTTCCAAGTCGGGGAACAACGGCGCCCTCCCCCCAGATAGGGCAGGGCTCACAGCTGCTTCACACTTTCTTTTTGTGCCTTTTGAACAGCAGTCTGTCTATTTCCCCCACAAGCATTGCACCACTCAAGGCAAAACCTTTGGCCATAAAACTGCTACGTCTGATGTTTACAATGTGAAACATACAAGCATCCCGAGTCGGAGGTGCAAAAAGTCGGAACAGTGCGGAAGTTCAAGCTTCTGCCCTCGTTCCAACACCCGCTGACTTGTTGGTCTTGACAACATATGGTGATACAGGTTTATATGCTAACCAAACATGAAACCAGGTAGCAGAGCCATCAAACAATTTCTAACAAGGTTGTTTGGCCAGCACGCACCTGTTTGTTGCTCTGCTTTGCTGGCGATCTTGGGCCTTTGGCCTTGGTGGCACCTTCCAACCAGCCCTCGGCTCCTGGGAAGGTGTGGGCCATAGTGCTGAAGCCAGGGAAGCCAACCCCTGTCAGAGGGCCCAGCTGGTCCAGGAGAAAGTTCAGCTTCCTGCAAAGGCCAACCTTTCCTTCCATGTCAAATGTCTCTTATGCGGTGTGCGCTTGTTTTGCATGAGGCTTGTTTCCTAAACATGATCCAACCACTATCCAGGTGGACAGAACAACTTCAGCATTATGTCTTTCGGTCCATTGTTCTAAGGTGGTCTGAAGGACATTGAGCTCCAAAGGACATTGAGCCAACAACAGCAGTACAGCTACAAACTAACTTGTATCTTTTGGGGAATGAATGCGAGCGCAGTCCCGTCGTTCATTCCGACAACAGGCCCCTGAACATATAAGATGTCAGATATGCCCAAGCGCACACTCGTAGATGACTCTGCTTGGATCCTATGCAACATATCCAAGCCCAGCAAGTCCAGGGAAGGCTTCTCCATGATGAGATCGCTTTCCTCGCTTGGCGAGCTTGCCATCAATTAAACAGAACTCCTTTCAGTATCGAAAGGTTGGCAGCTGTCCTGCAAAGAAGCTGGTCATTGTGATTTCTCATGATGCTGCCAACGCTGAAGATTGTGACGTTCGCCAAGCGGTCGTAGTTGTCCACCTTTGAGGATTCCGTCGAAGAAATTGGTGTTGCCGCCCCACTTCTTCAAAACATGGAGTTTGGGCAAGTAACGCGCAGTTTGCCCAAATTACAGTCGTTCATACATGGGCATCCTTATAAACACACACCCTGCTAGCGACAGTTGGCGCCGGGCAAGCCAATTGACTGCCAATTGGTTCTCAGGATAAAGCAGCTGGACAGGAATTACCCAGGAAGACCCGAGGCTTGCCACACACACAAAACCGATTGAGTCGGCAAAATCGCCAAACAAGCATGTCCGCTAGCGAAACACTTGACTCTCAACTGCAACAAAAACAACACCAACTCATGGCCTATATAGTCATGTGTCACCGTTTGCCGCTATGAGAGAAGTTTGGCACGTGTCGAGAAAACCACTGACACTTTAAGGCAGCTTCTCTGCACATTCTGATAAGTCCAAGCACGGATGCGCTGTTTTGTTGATCCAACCTAGGCCCCCCGAAGAGGGATGATTGCCAAATCGCGAGAAAGGGCTTGCCGTTTGGGGCTGGCGCAAGGCTGTTTTCGACACTTCTCCTATCGCAAAAGAAAAATCACTTTAGCTCAAAAAATATTCAAACCATCCAGGGGGAAACAGGGGCTTGTCTCAAGATAGGAAAACACCCAGAATGGGCGGCTTCCTTTTGGCTTCCCTTAAAAGAAACAAAAAGTTGCCGCTGTCACTTCACGCTGAGTGGCAATGTGCTTGAGGTACACAAAGTTCTCCCCACCTTTGTCCGGCACAGCCTACCGGGAACAGGGGCACAGAGACTGCGCACAAAGCCTCTGCAACCTTCATTTGCTTCAGGCCCCTAGAACGAACTTCAACGTATTTCCAGCAATAGATCCCGTTTAGGGCCAACAAGGGACAATAGTAACCATTAAGCAAATGGAAGGTCATACTTAGTTACTTGTCAGGCACAACTCAAAGCATGTTACGTTGTTGGAGCCCAGTTGAGCCAGCGTAGTGACGATAAGGACATGGTTCATAGATGAAGAACTTCCGAGGCGAGTGCCCCTCCATGTCGCATATATCATATCTCTGATGGTTTTGTGGCCGGTTTCAAGATGTTACCAGTCCAAAGTTCCTGCCATCGTAAGCCTGAGGTTCGGAGCGATTTTTGTGGGGCTGACAGAACTTCCGAATGAAAAAGCCTTCATGCCGTGCACTCTCGGGGATGGTCGCACGCTTCTCCCACCGAGTGCCATTCTCAAGCGCAAGCCACTTCAACTCCCCGAAATGCCATAAGCAATCAGGACCCTTTTTCTCCATGTCAGTTAACATGTGCTCAGTGAGGATAACTTACTCATTTGCCCAAATGACCTGGATTTGTTTAGGTTAAGTGTTTGGGACTCTGAACAAAACGAGAAAGGTCAAAATGCCAGGTTTCGGCAAGTGAATCTACAACCGTTTATCACATGCGAGTCACAATCGAAACCTGATATCAAAGATGCTGCCCCAGATTTTTTAGTTTGTAGCGTTGCCCCCCCATCCACCTACATGGAACCCTCAGCTCTCTTGAGGGAGATGGTCTTCCACCCCCAGTCAGGTTCCAACTATTTGCGGATGGGAGGGTAGCTCTTGAGGGTTTGTCCACTCCAGACCTTACTTGTGGTGGCGTTTGATGTTAAAGGCAACTACACACCCCACGCATCCCACAGCCAGCCGCACCTCGCAGCGCGGGTCCAGGCTGGGATCAGTGCAGTAGATGCGAACTCGCAGCTGAGTGGTGCGCGTGGTGCGCGTCAAGGGCTCGATGAAGCTGAGGTTCCTGACGGGATTTCGGCTTTCGGGCTCATTTAACGAGAGATCATTTGAGATGGGTTTGTCTCAAATCGGGTACTCTCAAAATTGGTGCTTTTCCTTTTGCTCCTTTAACACCACCCAAAAGGCCAACCTCAACAAGGACACATCATGGCTCCTGAGCAAATCATTCCACCCAACCACTGCCTTTTCCCTATGTGCAAAGACCAAGTGCTGTCGAAAAGCAATCGTTGAAGGGTGCTCGTTGCTTTTTGTGGACAACTCGCTGATCTTGCCAAACAAGTGCCGATCCAGCAGCGAAGGTGAGAACTTGCGGCCAAACCACGGGTTAGCGCAGAACGCCACATGAACGAGAAGTAGCGTCCAAGGTATGATCAAACACACGTGCAACAAGGGTTTATCATGCAACCAACAAACTGTGAGACACTGTGCCGGAAGAGGCTCCAGTTGACATTCCCTTTAAACCAACAGGGGACTGTAACACATATTCTTAAGCAAATGGAAGCGCGCACGCACATCATTGCCCACAGCGATTGCGCGGACCTTATCCCAGGCGGAAAAAAGCCTGCGGCCAGGATTCTCGTTGAAGGCAGAGATGACCAGCTCCACCTCACATGGGGACTTGTGGGTATGAGTTTTGGCCTCAGAATGGGTGGTTGCCTCAAACAAAGGCGGGTTCCAGCAAAAAAACTCTCATATTCAATATCTCATGCCGGAGCTGATGTTGAGAGCTCACATGTATGTCCCGGTTGGTTTGCTGGCAGTTTGTGGCTGCCAGTGCTACCAGCTTCAGTTCGTTGATCTCGTTTTTGGTACCGTGGGTGAGCTCTTAAACATTGATCCATCGACGTTTGGCTGTATCGCCAATCCAAAGAGCCAACCATGGGGAACCTGATTGATTTATTTGCACAATGTTCAACCCTATGTATCGCTGCACATACAGTGGACATTTTGGCTACCGCTGATCATTTTGTAAAAGGGCAACAAACATTGACCCAGACGTGCTCAAACTAAGCCTTGTCTCTTGCTGTCTGAGTGGCGTTTCCGGGTCCCGTCACTGGGGGCGGTAGAGCAGCGACTGGATCATCCTGGCAATGCAACTTCTCGAGCCGCCAACCACAAAAGAAACAGGCCCTTTCTCAGGGAAAGTGAAGTACGCCCTAAGTACGCCCCAGGCAAATAACATCCTCTGACGAGCCTAGCAAAGGGGGTACCGAACATCCTCGAAATGTTCCCACCACGGCAATTATCTAGTACCAATTGACAAGCCTGAAATAAGGGTTGATGAGGCCTGATGAGGTCGCAGATTTCCTTTTGTGAGGTTGCTATAATTATGGCCACTAAGGTGACTAGTAATTTCAAGGGGAAAAACACAAACAAGTAACTTTGAGAAGGCCCAACATGTTTCAAGGACGGTACAACTTAGTAACTTGTCAAAACAATAAGCGGTTTATGGGGAAGCCTCTGAAGCTCAGCGGGCACGGCCCGCTCTGCTTCAAACCATGGACCATGTGGGCTGCTCCAAGCCCTCACTGCAAAAGGTCGGCCTCCTTTTGGTATGGGAGACACATCTTTCCAAAGGTCATTTTGGGGCTTTTGCGGTCACACCAAAGCCCACCAGTGACTGCGAATGTCCAAATCTTTCATGTGCTTGAGGCGCCCAAACGCAGCGCATTTCTCAATGACCCATTTGCCTCCAATACCCACAGAGGACAAAACAATCAACGCCCGAAGCAAAACCGATGGGAGGGTCCCCAAATGAACCCTGCGTGGTGCGCCTAGCGTTTTCACCTAAGGAGGTCTGAAGATCCATCCGCGTCTTAGAAGTTCTTCTTGTGGCCAAAACGGGGCCGGCCACGGGACGGCAATCCTCCAAATGACATGAAGGTGTGTGAAGACAATCACCCCCGATCACCCCACACAGCGCGGGAGAGCACGTCATCGTTCCGTCCCGGTCGTAAGTTGCATGGTCCTCTCATATCATTGGCCAAATGGATCATCTGCAAATGATAGTGTCAGTTGCTCAACAAATACAAGTCATGAGGCAACCAACCATTCTCTTTGTGCTGGTGGGTGGGTGGGTTCCTGTCACTCCATTTCTCACTTCCCGCCTCACACACCTCCGGAGCCGAAGTCCGTGTCCTTGGCCAACTTTCGAGGGGGGACAAACCCTTAGACTTTTGGTTCTGTCAAAATGGCTCAGCCATCATCGTAGGTTTATGGGCTTTAGCGCAAGCCCCATGAAACCAGATTTGTTGGCGCTGTTTCAGCGGGCACTGGGATCCAGTCCAGTCGATGGTGGTTTGCTGGTCGGGGGCTTTTCGGCTTCGACCTTGGACCTTTTCCAGACTGTGAGATCACCAGGTGATTTTGTGAGTTTTTAAGCACCCTTTTTGGGTTGGTTGAAAAAGGAACCGCAAAGGAAAAGCATCATTTGTTTAGCTACCCACACGCGCAGGTAGTAGAACCTGCTAATATGGTCAAGAGGCTACTCACATCGAGTTTGTATCCGGGATCAACATTATCCTCTAGCGCCGATTGCTCGCTGGGGCCCCCGTCAGCTCACGGTGCATGCGCTCGTCTTCTGGAGGAACGGCGCAGGGGTTCTTGATGAAAGACCAAGGAGCTGAGGCTCTCGAGGTGTCGCTGGTGCAAACCTCCGCGGCACGCAGGGGAGACGCACGGGGAGACGCACGGGGACGCATCAACCGAAGGGTGGATCCTAACACCTGGTTTGGTGCTCACATTTCGCGGAGGTAAGACGACGCCGTGAAAGGGGTTTGTTGTTGCTACTGCTTGTTTCCCGCAACACAACTCAAAGACCATTTCACACACACACACACGGACGGCCTTGAACCAGCTCTTGCTCGCGTTGAGCCAGGTCTTACCAGGCTGCCTCCACCAGATCAGGCCCTTGCCTTGGTTCACCAAACTGCGTGGGAAGAGCATGAAAACATAAACCCCACATGAGGGGGGAATCATGTTTGAGGGGAGAAATACGCTCACTTCCTGAGTTGATTGAGCAAAGCAACTAAACTTGTTGTTTGCCAGTAAAATGGTCTTCCCAAAATGCAAAGTCCAGGAGCTCAGGGGAGTGAGTAAGCCTAAACAAGACTCAAGTGTCGGATTGCTTTGGGCTCTCAAGCGGCCTGTGGCATCTCTGGAAACCAGGGCGGAGGGGAGCAACCCTGGCACCTCGGATCCGTAAATGGTAAAAAACCTTTCGGGGTGAATGGGAAACAGGTACGCGTGGTGACCAGAGGATGAATCCGAATCATTCTTCCTTCCAGGGTTTGGGTTAGCACATTCCCGGCAAAACGCACGTGGCAAAGGTAAATGATTGTGACTGCTTTCACCTAGCCCTGCTGCAAATGAACTGCGGTAACATGCGGTAACTGTGTTTGCGAGCAGAACTGCAGCAAACCAAATGGTGGCGATGGAGTCGCGATGGGCTCACGACAGATTCTTCTCCAAAGTAAGGAAACAAGAGCATTGATCAACTGCCATGTCGTGGCGGCTGAACGGCCGAACAGTGGGGTGAACAGAAGTGGTCAGAAGGGTCCCTCATACGGTTGTGCATCTTTGGGATACCCCCTTTTCGGGTAGTTTTTAAGGGAAACTGAAAAGAAACCGCCCAGTTTAGAAGTTTCCGTCTGGAACCTTGCAACAAGCTCCATGGGCTTTCGACCAGCCAATGTTTTGGTTTGCACTATCCCCAACACAGGCAAGGAATCAAGGATGAAAGTCAAGGTGCTGCGTCTAAAAGGGAGTGGGGTCTCCAACTATGCAAGTGCACAGTCATGCCTCCAAGAATCCAATGCCAACGCGGAACCTTTCTGAAGAAACATCTCTTTCGCGAACTCCGTCGCTGATCTTTCGCAGAGGGATTTAGACCAACACCAATGCTCGCCGAATACATAATTCCTTGCAAGAACCTTGTGATCAACTCCCACATCCTGGCTCGCTGGTCAAATAGCCAAGCCGCACCTCGGCGTGCTGCTGCAAGAGGCAAGCAAGGCCTCGCAATGAAACTCCTCACACCACGCTTGCCTACGCCTACCGGCATTTGGACACATGAGCCGAACTTCGCGATCCTTCCTGTTCAGCCAACGGCAAGGCTTGACTATGCTGGAGGAAATGCCATGTAACTGTAAAACCAAAGTTCTGAGAATTGACATGTCAAAACGCAAACACCATGGCATATCACGAACCATGGAGCCTAGCCGCAACAGAATGCCTTGCTGCCAAGCCTGATTCAAGATAAACGAGCAGTGCTTACTCACAAGGTACCGAGCCTGTAGCAGCACATCCGTGAGCTTATATCGATGAATATCTGCAATCTGAAGCTGCATGATGACCTCCCAAACAGCTTGCTTTCGGCTTCGAGGCTACTTCAACTGACTTGCAACAAGAGTGTCTATTCCAAAGCTCGGAAAGCAATAGCCATCCCCGAAGCGGATGCGAAGAAACGCCTGCCTGCACGGTCTGGTTGGAGCTCGTCCTCCAGTCCTGGAAATTCGAAAGGTAACTCGGCCACTGCGAACTCAGGGCTTTCTTCTTCCACTTGAAATTGAAATTAGCTTCGCTATGGGTGCGTCCATGCCGCAAAAAAAGGGCTGCATCCGGGAGCAAATGCCTCTACTAGTTGGATTTCCTTTGAAAATCGTCTTCACAACATTCCGTCGAACGTTTACCAACAAAACACATGGGATCCTGCGATCCCATTTTAAAACAGCCTCTTGGATCGGGCTGCTCTGCCCTTTTTGTGAGGTCCCCACAGTTTGCTCAGAAACATGATCAATGCGAGAATCCTGGGAATACCACAGTCGTGCTACAAAATAGCGATCCTTCGAAATAATTGGTGTGGATTTGAATTGCCGTAAAACACGCAGTGCGCTCACACAAATCATAACCTTTTAAATCCCCTAAAGGAACCCCCAAAAGAGGATTGCTTAATCCAAAACAAACCCAGTACGCAATGAAAAAACAAGACGGCACCATCTCAACAAACCGGACAGGGCCCTAATGCGGCAGCAAAGGCCCCGGCTCCGTACTGTCCGCCGCAAATGTGGCCCTCGAGAACCTCCGCAGTGGCCCAGTCGCAGCTTCGCCTGGGCCGAGTCGGGCTGGACAATTGTCTTTTTGATCCTGGTTTGGTTCCCTCAGTTGGCTGAGTTACTCTTCCTTGCAGTCTAACCTCCTAACTGTCTAACCTGTGTAGGTTCAGTGGAAACACATTTTTCCGAAAAGGACTCAGGGGCTTAAGTCACAGCCGTGAAAGGTTTCTTTTGGCAGGGGACGAGAAAACACCTGATTGCCTGTCAATTGGCTCTCTCAAATGTCTGGAATTGAGAACATGGCAAGGTCTTTGGCGGCAAAGGTCCAGATATTGAATGCCCTGGGCTCCGAGGGCCAAGGCTGTGTTAAAGGGGGAACAATCACGCTTTCGGTGATACCACGAATCATTCGCAGAACCCCCCCCCCCCCCGCGGGCTGGTTGCCTTTATGGCCGATTCCCGGTTCCCTTTTGGAGGCAGGTTGCTTCTGCCAAAGCGAGGTCGAATTCTTCTGGCAATCTGGAAGTGTGAAATCCAACCCCCGTTTGATAAACAGGGCAACCTGGGTTGGCCAACTGTCGGTGCAACGCGGGCAAGGACGGGTGTGCCTTCCGTTCCCGACTGTCGGGGCCTGTTTGAAAAGTGGACCAAAAACAGGAAGGCCAAAAGGCAAACAACTCGGCTTTGACAAGCTGAGGGAAATCAAGGGGCCCCAAGAGGAAACGTTGGGGTTGGGTGGGGGGTGAGCTGCAGTTGGTTGGTTGGGGGGAGGTGGGGTTGGGAGGTTGGGTGAGTGGTTGGTTGGGGTTTTTGGGTTGGGGGGGTGTGGGGTGGTTGCTGGGGGGTTTTGGGGGGGGGGGTTTGGGTTGGGGGGTGGGGTTGGGGGTCTCTCTCGGGTCCAACTGGGGAGTTGACGAAACAGTTCCTGGTGCCAACGTTGTTTGCTGGCACAAAATCGAGAATACCCCCAAATTGGGGCCCGGATTTTTTGACAAGCTCCCAACAAGATTTCAGAATTTGTGGGGGATGAATGTAGGCAAAGAAAACATGGGTTTTCCCATTTGCACAGAGTCAGTTGCACAATGCTATTTGCACAGAGCAAACTCGCACCGGGCTACTTGCACAGAGCCATCTCTTGCACAGGCAGTGCTGCTCGCACAAAGAGCAACTTGCACAGGGCCAGCTGCATAGAGGCGAGTAGTCAGGGAATGGCTGGGCATAGTCTGGGTGCGGATAGTCTGCGTACAGAGTCTAGGTAAAGAGGTTGGGTGTCATAGAGGCTCGGCAAAAGCAGCTATGTAACTTAAGGTTCATGTTGTATAGAGAAGGTTTCTATCGCGCGTGAGAGAGCTCGGTAATAAGTTCCTTCTTTTAAGGCGTGGGCATCGTCGCACGGGGTTGCGACCCTCTGCGGTGGTTCATGTCAAAAAGTAAGGGCTTTTTACGATTTTTGCCGTCCCCGTGCGGCTCTGTGCAGAAACTGTTCGATTCTGCGGCCCTACCCACGGCGGGGGGGGGGGGGTGTATAAAAAAAACCGTGATCTCCAACTTTGTAACACGCCGTGCGACCCTCTGCGGGGATCACGTCGAAAAAGCAGAGGGCTTTTTGTGATTCGGCGGTCAGATTCAACCCTCTGCGGATCGTGCCTGTCGAAGAGCTCTCGCTGTAGCCCCCTGAAACTTTTGTTGCTCTTGCAGCTAAGCTCCAGCTGGAAATTGCAACCTGAAAGTACATTATTAGAGCGCGGCTTTGGCTGGAAAAGCAGCGACCCCCCAACGCAACAAACGGTTGCCTTCACAGTGGCAAACATGGAAGAGGCAGTATCCCCTTTGAAGACTTTTAGCCGCTGCGAAACTGGCAGGGGGCATGTTCTCTGATGGCTTCCCTGTGAAAGGCATCGCCCCTTTGAGGTTCCCTACATCCAGCAGTGGAAGCATCCCAAGGGCGTCCCTACATTTCCTCTGGTTTCAAGCATCGCCTTTCAGGGCCAGTTACTTTTACTTCCTCTTGGTGTGACGTTGAGAGCCCCCACCGAAATGCGGGTGTTCCACAAGTTGCTTTATGCAAAAAGATGTTTTTCTTTTTTTCTTCTGGTGCTCTGTGCATCTTCTCTGTGCCGGTGGCCCTTTGCGAGTGCTCTGCGCAATTTGATCTGCGCAAGTCTGCACCGAGATCTCTATGAGAGCACGGCAAGCTGCCCTGCACAGATTCTGAGCGTAAAAGGTTCTTTGCAAGTTACTCGAAAGTGCTCTGCACCAGTTGCTCTGCGTAAGTTGCTCTTCGCATGTCTGCAAATTTCTCTGTGCAATAGTGCTCTGTGCAAGCTACTCTGCGCAAGGGTCTCTTCACAACTTGTCCGTGTAAAAGTGGTACACGAAGCATTCCCGCGGAAAATCGCAACCGGCTCACTCAGTGCGACTTGCAGACTTGCGCAGAGCAATTTGCACAGAGCACTGGTTTTACTCCACCCGCCATTGAGGTCCGCGTTGGAACGCTTTGACATCACGGGTCTGACAAGCTGTGCGTTTGCCTAACTTTGGATGACTTCTGGGTTGAGCAGTGCCAACCTTGCCAATCAAAAGCACCTCTCGTGTCAGCATCGCGGCTCTGGATGACACTGTGGAGTCGTCAACTCGGTTGAAGCGTATCAGCAATTCCCTGGATCAAGCACACGTGGCACAAACCAAAAAACACCAATCCATCCCAAGTGGAAACAAACAAACATGGTTTTGGTATCATGCCAGACCTGCCCCTCTCCATACTCCTACAAAGTGATGAGCTCGGGCCATACAACTCCCCGGATCTATTCTAAAAACAAAACGTGGTTTCAGCAAAGCTACCGCCCAAACGCAGCTGAAGCTGGCTAATTCATGATATTTGTGATATTCGACATGGTAGGTCCCACCCCCCCCAACCCCCCCCCCCCCGCCGTGTCAACCCCTTCCCTGCCCCACCCAATTCCAAGGCATTCTAGCGCGCTGTTCCCCGGGTTCGATTTGCTCTTTGAGCTGAGGCGCCACTTCAAGTAGGAGGAGTAATTCTCCTGGGCACCCGCCGTTGTGAACATGTCAGGACTGGCCAAAACATGCTTCATCAAGTGAACTGTAGACATCCTCATCGATAGCACTTTCTTTTGATGCAACCAAAAACAACCTTATGAAATGAAACCAAACACAGTGGACTATCTGAAGTCTGCCAGCACGGGGAAGAACAACATGGAGCCAAGGATGGAGTCGCAATTGAACATGGCGCGTTGCCATGTCTGAAATGGGCTAAGGAGGTCGAGGCTGTAGCCCGGCTTTTGGGGCTCCCGATGCCCCGAGTCTCGGCCTCGAGACTCACATGGGTCCCGTCCTTTGGTTTCCCTCCCCAAAATGTGTACATAAAGGCGGTATAGAATGTCCCTATGGGTCCCTTTGACAAGCTCTGATCTTTTCACCCCTAAGCCCAATTCTCTTTCGGGAGGATCTCCTGCTGCCACTGCAAATGGCAGCCCCCGCTGGTCGCGTCGAAGCGTCCGCAAGCCACGCCTGACAATTGAATACAATTGACCAATGTGAAGGAGCCATTGGAACCAACATGTCCCACTTGCCACAGGTCCGCGATCCGCGAGCTTTTCGGCCTATGTTCAATCCAAAACCACAGCTTCAGGGCACCCCCGTTGGCCCATGAAATTGGCGGATTCCCCAAAGCTACCAAACCATTTTTGGGTCTTGACATCCTTTGCAGGCAGGCCCTTCGGAGGCTTAAACCAAAGGTCCCTGGAAAAGGAAGAGCAACGCGGTTGCTCGCACGTGGGTCTTTCGGCAACACCATGATAGTAATTGTCGGTTGGATGGGTTGGGTTGGATTGGGGCTGGGTTGGGTTGGTTCAGAACCTGAGAAAAGCAGAAACAGCTCCAAAACCGACGCCCAAAAACTTCTTCCAGGTGAGCAGTTCGCACAGGCTCCCCATCTTCCACTTGTGGGTTGGGGGGGGGGGTGAGGGCGACATCTTCGCCAAACATCATCTGCCACTTTCAAGCTTTCAGCAACAGCTGTTCTACGACTGAAGGGAGACATGAGAGTGCGACTGACCACACGTCTCCAACACCTGCAGTAGGCCTGCGCGCCCGCGCGTCCAACCGCCACGTGCCTTGCTTGAAGCTGAGCATGGCGCACTGAGGCTCGCGGCTGCAGGCGGCTTTGCAGGTGTCCTGCGTGCTGCTAATCGGAAGGTTGGCTTGGGCTGGTGCTGGTGGGCCTAAGGATGTGCAACATGAGATTTCCCCAACTTTTTGGTGGTTAGGATTGGTGGTTTTCAGCTCCGTTAGCTCAAGATGCGAAGCTTACTGTAAGATAGACTGTTGTGGGGTACTCAAAACACAAATTCAGTCATGATATCATCCTAAAATTATTCGCGTTTATGTTTTGACCTCTTGGGAGCTCTTGGCTTCCTTCTTTGGTTTGTTTTGGATTGGTTTGCAGGTCAGGGGGCTTCCTTCGGATCAAACGCTTCAACACGGACTCTTGGAGGTTTCCTTTTGGATCTTCTTGAACAACAAAACCCAACAACACGTACCAGAAAACATCCCCGTGCAACTTGGATTCGCCAGCTCAGCCCGTCCAGATCTGCGGCTTCGCTGGAGTGCCAGCCCGCGTAGTACCCGGTCTCGCCTTTTTTCTTGGGGGGGACAAATGGGGTCCCATCGGAGCGGGGTCCCATCGGAGTGGGGTTTTACCGGGAATAGCGACTCTCGGCGAGATCGTCTGAAAGTCACCGAAAAGGGAGACCCTGGTAACAGAATTGATTCTTTACATGTCTAGGGCTTTGTGGGACGTCAGCCCAAGGGGTCCAAGGGATGTATACAATCGGCACATGGCAGTCAGCCCAACAAACAGACCCTCCTGTGGCTTGGGCAAAATAAACACATCTCAGGTATGGTCAATTTGGAGCTTGTAGACTCATTCACTTCCGGCGGTTTGGTGAGTATATCCAATACCAAATCAATTCCTAAACTGGAAATAGTGAATTCCAAGTACGTGACTTTCACCGTGGGCAAGCTCGTTTACTACCCCTCCAGCGAAGATTGTCTTCACAACAGCAGATCGTGAATCGTGGCTGTCATCTGATTTTGTCTGACAAAGGGGAACCTTGTCTGACTGCTTTTTTTGGCGGGGGGGGGGAAGGAATGTGTTCCGCAAGGTTGAGCCCTGTGACTATCCTTTCCAGGCTTGCGTCGAAGCCTCCTCTCTCGAGTTCGGACCCCTGAAACGCTGGTTTCCTTTTGGATTGAATGGGATCCGATCCCCTGGAAAACAAGCTGCATCTAACAGGGACCTTCTTGGTTTCAAGTTTGTCTTGGGGACTCACGTAGCCGAGTGACAGGCGCCAAGGCCGTGAAAGAGATACTCGTGCGGATCCTGATCAGGGCTCTTGGCATGATGCTCTTTGGTCCGTACCCTTCTGGTTCCAACCATGCAAACGGCTTTGGCAAACTCTTCTTTGGGTCTGCATAGCTCTGCAATGTTACAACAACTCCTAAACTCGAAAAAGGAATCCCTAAGTAACGAAGCATGGTTAGATCGTTTACCCCCAAGCTGCATGCAAATTGATGACAACAACTGGGATGCCGATCAAACTGGAGATGGGGGAGCCGAGAGAGACGTTCAGTGAGCTTGCTTCTTTCAAGCCGAGCTCGATGCAATTTTGAGCACATGTTGGACAAATTATTTGGGGGTAGGTGGGTGCTTATCATTTCTCTTGTGGACCCCTTGCAGCAATGATCTTTGTAGATTCCTCCTTCGGTGAGGCGCTTTTGGGTTCCACGTTGATCTCCAGAGTATTTCACGCGCCAGCCCTTGCTTGAGATTTTGAACACGTCTTCACACCTGTTGTTGCAGCAACCTCTTTGTGGTGTTTCCCTTGAAAAGGGACGGAAAGCTCGGGTTTAGGTGTAACCCAGTCCGCCCTTGACTTCTCGCCTTGCGGACGCCAGACGCGGCTCCCAAGGCGGCTGGTCGCTGGCCCAGGACATCGGCTCTGATCAACTTTGGGCGCGCCTAGCAGCTCAACTTGGTCCCGGGCTCTCAAAATGACTGCTTGGGGTGGTTCCGGACATGGAATTTCCAGACATTTATAAAGTGCATCCAAGATTGGGGACCAAGCTCGGTATAGTGACCAAGCTGCAGAGAACAGCTCCTCCGGCCACGGCCTGAGGCACTTGGCTGACGAGGGGTCTGGATTTGGTGGTGGACGCAGTCTTGACACAGGGGGGGAAGTGTTCGTGCTGATGATACGCAAGGGTTGGGGCTCGCAGAGCACAAGCACAAATGGGCGTTGGATACGTTTCTTGCTCTCGGGGGGTCTCTTGCCATTTTTGAATCATTGAGTGGATGCGAATGGAGAAGTAGGCCTGCTGGACAAAATACATCGTGGAGTGCTCTGCGGCCCTTCTGAAAGTGGATGATGGGATCATATACGCACCATAAACATGGCTTTCCAATTTACAGAAGGACAGGTGACTCTTATATATTGGGTGGGGCGACAACCCGAGATATGTGCCAATATCATATGGAATCTGTCCCACAAAGGGGGCCGGTGTGGCGGTTTGAGGTGGGGGTTGTATGCAACTGTTATTTTCAATTGTCGGTGCCCAAGTGTGCCACATCTGTTGATGCCTTTCTCCATCCAAAGTGGAACTGGGGTATGCATGCAACTGTAAACAGGGCACGGGTATGGGATGTGCAAAACGGCACAGGAGACATGCTACTGAAATAGGCAGAGAGGAAGACAAAAGCCAACCAACCAACCAACCAACCAACCAACCAACCAACCAACCAACCAACCAACCAACCAACCAACCAACCAACCAACCAACCAACCAACCAACCAACCAACCAACCAACCAACCAACCAACCAACCAACCAACCAACTCACTGACCAACCACCAACGGCCCAACCCACACACACACACACGCGAGAGCCACAACTTGTGAATAGCTATAAAAGGCCACATGGACCACAGGATCACGTCACCAATCTGTCCGAACTTCAATCGCTCTTGGCGTAATGTTTGTGGTGAACACTTATGCAGTCCTTCGGCGCGTTTCGTCCAAACACGCAGCTGTCAGAGTGTGCCCTTTGACATCCCCTCTTGCAGAGGCCGCACTTGGGCTCCGAACGAAGGACATGTCCGCCTATCTTTTGACGAGCTCACATGGCAAAACTCAATTCGCTTTTGGAATTCTTGAATTCGCAGCAGAAGACACCTGGCTGGCGCATGACACCACCCCGTTTGCTCGCTTGCTCGCTGTTTTGTGGAAACATGGGACACCCCTGCTCATTTGCGATCCATCCCCAAAACCAGCCAGTCAACATCCAACAAAGAACCCTTGGTGCAGTGGCGAACCCTCGCGTCGCTGTAAGACTCTTTGCCGAGAGTCAGCAGCGCTAGAATGGGTGGAGTGGCACAAACCAGGCAAGCCAGAAAGCCACGCCGCCGGCAGGCCTAGCATTTTCTTGTTGCATGCGAGTCCAAACTCCGAGAGTACCCCTGTAGAGAGCACGGTGATTGAAGCGTCAAGTTGGTACATAAATCTGCTTTGCACAGAGGTCTAAATCATCGAACCTGCAGCTGTGGTGTACTTTCAAACTAAATCAAGTCGTGATCATAGAAACAAGTTGTTAGTAGTAATTCCTGCACAAGCAAAGCTTAACTTGTGCCAACAATTGGCGGGGTGCACAGGCCTGGGGCCATGACAAACACGGGCCAACAAGGGAAAACCAGAACGTGAACATGCATGTGGGCTCTTACAGGTGAGATAGTAAGAACGCTGGCTGGAATGCGAATTTCCAATCCAAATAAGCAGTGCCCGAAACCCGATGACTTTTGGTTCTACTGGCATGATTTCCAAGTTATAAAGGTGTGTATGCACCTCACTATAATCCTCAAACCAAGCAGCGGAACCACCTGCCGATATGGCGAATGCCAGCCTGTCAAGCCCAGACTGCCTGTCGACTTTGGAACGTGCGGCCATTGACTCAGCGTCCCGAGCTCGTTTCCCTCCCATCTGTTCTCGCCATGCATAAGGTTTTGAACAGCAAATTCTACAGACATATGCCTCAAAGTGTCAACTCGGGAAGTTTGCCCGTTTGCTCATTGTTTTGTTGTAAACATGCTCAATTGCTTGTCCGCAGCAACCAGTCGGGTCAACAAGCCGCCCGTTTTGACGCCTGAAAGGCCATGGGCCATGACGAAGTGCACGGGTCGAAAAGGGGAGGAGGGCAAGCGCCTGAAATTGAGCTCGTAACTTCACAAGGGAAGGAGGCATTCTGAAACCCATGCATCAAAAGTGCGTGTCTCATACGTATTACATATATGTAGTAGCCTGATACACAATTATATGTATACATATACATGAATATGTATATGTATGAGAATATGATAGCTTCGGCACGTACATAGATGTGTGTCCCCTTGGATTGGGGACCCTTTGCCGACTCGTTGAAGGAAAATTATGGTCAACCCGCCATCTTTGGGGCTCCTAACTAAATGCGGGAAAGTGAGTATGATCAAACCCGGATTGCTTTTTCAGCCTTCGTCAAACAAACTGGTGTGAGAACTTGGCCCTTGGCGGCCCAAACGGAAAGCACTGCCGCACTCGTTGTTTGAATGCTTCAGCTAAAGTCAAGAAGGCTTCAAAAGGGAGCTGAGCGCAGGTTTTAGCGTCAGGCGCACTCCTGACAAGAGAATAGGACTTTTGGATCCTCTTTCTGGTACGGGAGTCCACGTCGGTGAAGTTGCAATTCGTTGCGTGTATAATACGCTTCGTGTACAGCAGAGAGACTCTCTTCCATGCCGCATACAGCTTCAGTATTTAGTGATATTTTATCTGCCAAGGTAGTCGATGGGTCCTGGATGTGAGCAGCTGTTTGGCAATTTTGCCACACCCTCAAAGGGCTTCATGTCCTGAGCCAGCTGGGTCAAGGATTCATGCTGGCCGCCAGTCTCAAAGCACAAGTAGCGCCTTGCCGTGCTGTATGGCGCACTTTGGCTACGCGGATGCTGCAAGCAGACTGTCACGAGGGGGAGGCTTCGACGCCCAACAAAGAAACAAGAAAAGACAAACACCGATTTGGCCGGGTCTGCAACATGGCGCAAACCTTGTTGGCACAGCAACACTCAGAAACTTCGCATACACAAGAATCTTTTGGAAGCTGCGGATGCTGATAGACTCTGCAATACCATCATGACTGAGCAATGGAACCTGCCTTCGCTCAAATAGTGGCTTGCTTGGGTAGTCAGTCTCGCAACGTGAATGAAAGGATGCAATTAACAACCACTCAACTGCCAATCTGCGTGAATCATTAACAAACGACTTTACACGGTTCCATGAGGCATTCACAAACCTTGCACAGTCACATGTGCACATTCAAGCCGGCACCCTGTGCGTCTGGCCCAACAACACACACACGCGCATATATATATATATATATATATCGTATACAGTTGTTCTTTTTCTTTTTTTTCCACCTGGTCAGCCTTTCATACCTCGTGTCTGGCTATGAATCTGGAGGCTTTAAAGGGACATGAAAAGGACAAACACCCATTTTCGGGTCACCTGAAAAAGACGCGCCCAGGAGGTAAGTAAGAGTAAGTCCTAAGGCTTAAAGGTCCATTGTGGGCCCAAACATAGCAAAGCTCTTCTTTTCTTTTCTGCCGCTCACGCATCTTCCTGAGCCGAGGCGTCAATTGCAAAAGCAGCTTGCATGCCTTCGATGTGGCTATGGGTAAAGCAAAATAGGTGAATTCCATTTGGTCACCTCAAACAAGGCAAACTCAAAGCCAAATGAGGCCAAACCAAACAGGATCTCCTTCGAATGTCACCTTCTCAGTGTCCTTTGCTAGGGAAGCAACTGCTGGACTCAGAAGAAGTACTCGACAAACGGGCTGCTTCGACCATGGCTTTAGCAGGAGACTTTTCGCACGCTTTTCGCCAAACCTATCAATGTTGATGCCAATTTTGCCGGTGTCGTCAAAATTTGGACTCAAGCAGTGTCTTGGTGGTAAGGCGCGGGGTCAACGCCCGCTTCCATTCCTAGGCACGTTTCTATGTATGTTGTTTTGTTACATGTCTCTTCGAACGCAATCGATACATGCAGGGTAGGATCCCTTTGTTGCCAGGTATGCACGATTGCAACACTCTTAGACTTAGAAGAGACAATCTGACAATTTGAGTGGGAACCGAAGTGCAGAGTGCGCAGCTGACCCGACTTGTCAAACGGTCAAGCACAGCAAAAGCACGGCGCGGAAAAGGAAAAAAACAAACAACGCGATGAACCCTTTCCCCTCATGCCCGGGCTTGAAATGGTCCAAGGCTTCATGCCACCAACAAGCTTCGAGAACGGGGGCCGAATTTCCTACTTCCACCTCTGGCTTGGGAAAGTTTGAGCTTCTCTCGCTTGGAATTAGGGTGTTTCAATGAATTCAAACATCACTCGTCGCCTCCACCTTGACGACTGTAGGCTTGTCAGCCTTCTCCTGCACCGTTCTGAGAGGTCCACATCCGGGCCCCTGCCTTTCTTGACCCACCTCAATAGACCCCAATTGTATGATCGCACTTGTTGTGGTCTCCACGGCACGGCGAGCAGTTCCGGGGCCACGTGCGGGGGGGAGGGGGGTTGAACTGCCCCAATTTTCATGGCCCCAGGCTTTATCGAGTAGCATCGCGCTACTCCATACCATCGCCTGCACAATTGCCAATAAACAGATCCATAACCACTCCTAGCAAATCCAAGAAACCACGGCGATGTCAAGGAAAACCCTGTAAAGAATCCAAAGGGATACCCGCGCTTGTTAAATCTATGGCTGGGACGATACACTAATTTCCAAAGACCCAAACTCTTGCAATGGGTCTGCCTTTTGTTTCACTTAGCAACCTCAAACAGGCAACCCTCGAACGCAACCAGGTCCTCGGTCTTGACTGGCTTCACCGGCTTTGCCTCGGCCTGAGACGTGCTCCGAACGCCGGAAGCCGCGCCAGGGAGCAGAAGGTTTCACTTTAGTTTGCCTTCATACCAAGTGCACATGTTTTCTGACAAACATCCACTTGAAGGGTTGTGTCTCTATGGACGTGGTTTCCCTCTGACTTCCCCGCAGCAAAGGGCACCCTCAAACCCATGCCCGAAGCATGTCATGCAAATCATCTATTGGCTCCGCAGACATCACGCACTTGACCATCCGTCATTTTCGTTCGCCCAGGCCTGTTAGACCCGGACCCCGAAATCCATGTTGCCCCACCACTGCGGGAACATTAATGGATCCCAAACTGTTCCCTCATTGCATTTGAAACTGCGAAAGGAGGCCGCCTCGTTGGTGACAATTGTGGAGACCCCAAGTCGTCGCGGTTGTCCTTTTAATTTCTTTCATGGAAACCCAGCACCCCTGTGCGTGCGCGTTCCTACCTCGTTTCCTGCCTCACCCAAAATGGTCACTTTGATTATGGCCATGTGTGGTTCATATTCAAATTAGCAAACCTGAAAATGCAAAAGAGGGGTGCGATCGGAATCCTCTCATGCAAACCAGTCAAGTCCCTTCGCCTCAGGCTCCGCTTTGGTGCGAAGGGCCTTCTCCTGAGGGGGCCCTTGGAACAGTGCCCATGGGATTCCCTGGATGCGGTGAGAGAACCAACAAACCGTTGCCATTTTAGGGATGCTCTTGTTTTTTTCAACCATGTGGAAACCCCAGCCCAGAATGAGTTTCGACATTGCCGTTATTGGGCATTCCACTGCAAACAACAAAAAGGCTCATGTTGCTGTGCGTCAAAAACATGGTCCCATACTGTTCTTCAAACACCACCAAACAAAACTGCCGGATGTTGCCAAACTATCAAACATATATTTCTTCTTGAAAGCTTCGTTCCAAAATCCAATCATTGTTGCCCGCAAACCAACCACCGTCTATGGCAACCTGACTGCCCCAAAGCGCAATTTGCGCTTTCCAGAAAACTAAAATTGAGCTCCAAAGTGTTGACAACGGTTTGAAATCGCCTATTTTCAACCTACGAGTTGAGAGGTCAGTTTGGTCAAAGTGCCAACCTGACACGGGTTCCGGCACTAGGGGAAAATAAACCCCCGAGTCTCAACGAGTCATGCAGTCTGGCCAAAGTACCGCCCAATCGTGAGCGCCCAACACCTGAGCTGACTTTTGGTTCCGACAAAAAACAACTATACCGGCCAAACAAAGGCCTCACTCCCACAAAACCAGGTAACGGAACCATCTGCAAGCATGAGCCCTTTGGGCATCTCCCCGCCTCTGGCTCCACTTTGGTGAGCCGCTTTTCCGGCCTCTCCTGGAAAACGAAGCCGGCTCCGAGAAATTATGAGCTGCTCCAAGCCCGAAGGAGCAAAAGGTCGATCGGTGTGTCTTTGCAGCCCCAAAATGGTAGCCTGCAAAAACACTATATACGTTTGCGCTTGCACGCCCTTTTGTGGTGTGCGTGCGTGCGTGCGTGCGTGCGTGCGCGCGTGCGTGCGTGCGTGCGTGCGTGCGCGCGTGCGTGCGTGCGTGCGTCCGCGCGTGCGTGCGTGCGCGCGTGCGTGCGTGCGTGCGTGGGTGGGTGGGTGGGTGGGTGGGTGTGTGTGTGTGTGCCGTCCTGGATCACGGACGATAAAAAGCCACCGGGGACCAGGGGGGGCGGTGGCCAACGAAGACCCCCCTCTGGTGCCGTGAAAACGTACCCGCTGTTGGTCCCTTTGTTTTTGTGATGTTGGGTCCCCAAAAGTCGCTGTCTGCTTCCTTTGTTGTTGATGCCAAGGGAAGCCAAGGGTTTCTTGCCGTCTTGTCTGCGAGTGAAGCCACTCGAGATAAGTGTGTATACCCACGGCCTGTCCGACATGGCGCCGTGGGCTGGACTCGCCATATGCGGGAGCCCCCTGCGAGGGGATGACGTTCAAAAGTTCAAGTTCAGTTCGCATTCGCATTGCACTGCCTGCATTTTGAACAAGGCAGCTCTCATGAGGTATCAGGCTCCGGCAGCTTCATTCGCATTGCACTGCCTGCATTTTGAACAAGGCAGCTCTCATGAGGTATCAGGCTCCGGCAGCTTCATGCGCGAGTGACAAGCCGGTCAGACACCGACTTTGCAGTTCATTGATTCACGCTCTGCGCTGACTCAGATCAGTTCAATTCACTTTCACGTTCATGCGATGCCTTGATGTGTGCTCGGGTTTTTCGTCCTTGAAAATCTTTTGCTGTTGCTGCGGGTTTTTGGAGGTCCCCTGGTGGAATTGCCTCTGCTTGGTTTTGTGCGCCCGGTTTTTCGTCTTTGAACATCTTTTGCTGTTGCTGCGGGGTTTTTGGCGGTCCCCTGGTGGAATTCCCTCTGTGTGGTTCGTGTCCGGTCCACGGGGTGTGTGCCGTCCTGGATCACGGACGATAAAAAACCGGCGGGGGGCCACCGGGGACCAGGGGGGGCGGTGGCCAACGAAGACCCCCCTCTGGTCCCGTGAAAACGTACCCGCTGTTGGTCCCTTTGTTTTTGTGATGTTGGGTCCCCAAAAGTCGCTGCAAGGGAAGCCAAGGGTTTCTTGCTGTCTTGTCTGCGAGTGAAGCCACTCGAGATAAGTGTGTGTTTGTCTCTTTTCGGCTCCACCTATTCCTGTTGTCCCTGCAAAAAAATAGAGGCAGAAAGGCCTAGTTGCCTACTATGGCGGTAACTAGAAGCAAGAGCGATCGGAAGTTGCTTCTTAGAATGGTCCCCTCACACGGCAAAGCCCCGAAGCGTCCGAGCTTTGCTCCTCCGCATCAAAGTCCGCTGTGTCCAGGACGCTCTTGGCATTGGGGCCCTCTCCGAGCCTCAAGCCCAGGGCACCGGGGAAACGTCGCTCAGGGCTGGACCAATGTGCTTATATAAACATGTTCCAACACCAGTTGTTTAACCGCATTGAAACTCGTTTTGTGCTTTAAAAACTGCCTCCTTTTGTTTGCCCTTCCAAGGTCGCCACTGTCTGGTTGCTGAAAGAAGTGTTGGCCACTCCTTCCGCTGGTGCGGTGGTTGCCGGGCGTTGGACCTGCTTTCCATGGGCCCAAGATCCATTCGAGCCGTTTAGCTGGCCTGAAACCAAACCCCTAAGCCTAGCTCACCTCAAACCAACCATCTTGCGGCAAAGCTCTTTATGCTGCCCCTGTGGCATCATCCCACCAAGAGGAAACTCACCAAACAAAAATAGCCCAACATGTAATGTTTAAAACAACTCAATGGGGAACTATAGCGAAACCTGTTCACCCCTTGTTGGCCTTTCGAACATAAAGAGAAAGCCTGGCGCCAAACAGTGTGAAGTTCACCTTTGCGACGGGATAGTCTGACCGATTGTTATCCACCGTTGTTCAAACGTGTTCAATCGAATTCAAACGGGTCCTGTTGGCAACAAACAACACCAAGAGCAGCCATGGAAAATGATAACAAAGGAACAATCATCAAGCTGGTCATGTATGCAACCGGAATTCGCTAGAGAAGAAGGCGATAAAATGACACTAATCAAATTCGGCCTGGTTCCGCCCGAACAGCTTTGGGCTCCAAACCCCAAAACCATCGCGTCAGCTTCCGTGATTGTTGGAAAGGGGTTCAACCACAGAGATCATCCCCCAAAGGTTACAGGTGAACCAAAACATTCGACCACAAAACCGCAGTAAATTAGGCTTCACTTCCCTTGTTTCCCTTGTCATATTCAGGGCCTCCAACATGCAGCTGAACTCTTCTTCTGCTTCTTCTTGTTCTTCTTCCCAGAAGCCAGTGGATTTCCATGGGAAAGAAGGGCGCTTTTCCAGATTTAGTTCTTTTGAAGGGACGCCCACCGGCAACGGTCGATTCAAACACCTCCTGAGGTCGCCGCGAGAGCCCCACCATGGGCGTCGAGTCGCTGGGCTCCTGGCGAGGCTTGAGAGCCGTTGCAAAATGGATGGTCTCGCATTGGGGGGCGTGCTTAGTCAGAGGCTGTGTGTGGAGGGGGGGGGGGTTTAGCAATCCAAATGGATGATAGCTGGGTGGAACATTGAGCATCCGGGAAGAAACAACACATCGCCCCCCAATGGTTTCCTTTTGATTCTGACACTTCAATTTTGTGAACCAGTGCTGCTTTGTTCCAAAGGTGCCATTTCATTGTGTTCCCTCTCAACATTGTCATGTCACAAACACACACACTCACAAACACAAGTTTGGCTTAGCTGCCAGTGAACTTACAATCAATGCCCGAGGCACACAAACAAGCACCCGCTACTGAAACTTTTTCTGGCACCAAGCCGCCCACTTGAAGGAGGCTGTCGCGGGGGGAGGAGGCCATGTTGAATGTCACAAGACAGTGTCCTTTTTCGCGTGTACCCTCTTCTGGTTTGGTGTTGAGGAAAGCCAACAGAAAACATTTAGGGGGATTCGTTGGGTTTGTCGCAAAATAGGGAACTTTCTCCAAACGGGTGGGTTCCTATTAATTCCATTTAACCAAAACCAACAAGGGCACCTCAAAGAAAGACAAGAGACAACAGCATAAAAAGATGCTCCTTCAAACGACTCCGAGGTTGGCCAATGGAACTCAAGGGACTACAAACTGGTTTGAACATGGGGTCCCGGATCCCCAGCTTCCGAATCCCAATTTTCCGCATACCCAGTTTAATCTGAGCGGCAGGATTAAACAAAGATTTTAAAGAAACCAGCAAAAGAAGGCTCTCGGCAAAAATGCGACAGCGTTCGCTGCCAAACACTTGCCGAAAGAAAACTCTTCCCTCGAGCAGTGTCAACTGCTAAGTGCAGCTGGGATCCAATCTTCCGAAAATGAATCTGGCCCACAAATTACAAATACGTAACCAAAGGCCAACAATTCCCACACTCATTTTCCAGACTCTACATGGACATGTGTAGCTTAGCAAAGGAAATCTAGAGAGAGAGAGAGAGAGTTCTTCATGCTACTTCCAAATGGATCGACAATTCAGGACGTGTCGGCCCGTGTCGACCAAACCTCATGGCACTCAATGAGAGGAGTGACACTACCACCTTAGGCCGAGCCATTCGCCTTCAGCACCGTCAAGTCAAGTCTCAAAGAGAGCACTCTAACATGCCCAAATTTCGCGGAGGCTGCACCAATTCACCCACGCATCAACATCTAGGGAAACGTTGCGCGAGCCTGCGCAAACGAATCGTACAGCGAACCTGCGCGGTCGACCTCTGCCGTTTACTCTTACCTTAAGAACCCCCGCATAAGGTAGACATACTGTTGAAAGAACAAAAGCACACACTTCCGAGTCCAGAAACTTGGAAGTGAGCTTTTCACACTGCCTCTCCCGGATTGTCAGTCATTTGCTTGGAACCAACCCTAAACGGGACCCTCAACACTTCCGCGTCGGGCCGATTTCATATGTTCTGCTTGATATTCGTGAACCCGAAAACATAGCCGCATCATGCCGCATCTTTCAGAGGAGAACTCCGACTTCGCGTCTCACCGTCTCACCCGGCCTCCGGCTTCTCCGGCTCCGGCTCCGGCGCCAGCGCCAAGGTGCCGTTCAGGATGGACAGCAGCTGACGCGTGAACTCGAAACCCAGCGAAAACGCAGGGCCGTGACATGGCCGAAGCCCAGCGACAACTCACAAAGCCAAAAAACCCGCGAAAGAACCAGTGGAACTGAAGTTCAAACTTGTCCGCAGAATTTAGAGTTACAAGCTTTGGGAAGCCCCAAAGCCCAACAGAAGCTTTTTCTGAAATTCAGCAAGCAAACTCTTGAGGTGCCAACGGCTTCCCTTTGGAAAGTTGGCCAGATGGGGGAACGCTTTCTGTTGGACTTCCGAGTTCAATTGCGTTTGCCCAGATCGAACCTATGGATGCTTTCTGGAATATGGGACCCCAAAAAACGTAAGTTGCTTTTGGTTTCTGTCTCACCCCCTCACAAAAAAAGCTGAATGCCCCCAGTGTCCTGTCTAAGAAGTATAAAATGCTTGGCTTCCCTCGCAACCAAGCCCTAGAAATGACGGCTCGCCCTCAAAAGCCATGAGCGCCTCCGGGGTGGGCGCCGGCGCCGGCAGCGCCGAAAGGACCCCGGCCTGCCAAGTGAGAAGTTGTGCGGGGAAACCGGGGCGGCCAAATGGGTTCCTCTCAAATTTCTTCGGACTTTTGGGTGATGTTCAAGAGGAAATCGACAGGACACCGTTGCCGTAGAGGACAGCTTGTGAGGATCCACCATTTTGACTGGGTGCAAAGTGGGGGCTCTGGTCAAACAAAACAATCATATACCCATCCCTTTTGGCATCCGTTTGGACAAATCAATAATGTTTGGATGTCTAGCACCCGGTACCATCATTGCCTAGTTTCATGCCTTCGGATGCAAATAAGGTTCCCTGTAGTTTCTATCTGGTGGTCCCCTTGCATACCTTCTGACTTGTTAGGGCTCCAGGTGTCCGTTCGGATAAGTCGATGGCACTCGCACATGATTAGGAAGGTCCTAGGCCCTGGTATTGTGAAGGGATATTGAGCTACCAATTGACAACTGTGAAAGTGGTCCAATCAATGATCGTCGCCGCTTAAGGCACCTTTTTCCCCCACGTCGCCTTCAGCCTTGTTACCAGTCGACAAAACGGAGAGTTATCATGCTACAAAAAGGCTTTGTTCAAAGAAGCAAATTCCCTAATTGCCCAATTGTCCCGCAGTCCGAAGGGACGCAGGGCTGAAGGCCAGTACACAGCTAGGCCATGTTTTTCGACACGCCTAAGTGTACTGGACTAAAGCCCAGCACCCGGAAAAAAAACAGAAAAAAAAGGAAAAAGTCCCCAACACTCGACCCGCAATCGCACGGGGTCTTCTCCATTTCCGCGCCTTCAAGGGCCTTGCGGGGACTGTCCCGCACCCTTCGACCCTTGACCTAAGGACAAACTCCCCTGCCTTCAACACTCCATCTGTGGATGTGGGCGGTGTGGGCGGGATAGTCAAAGTCTCCGCCGAGCCCAACTGGCCAAGCCGTGTGTCAAGATCCAAACCAATGGGCGTGTCTTGTGACTTTCCTTTTGGTATCCCTTCAAACCATCCCAAAAAGAAGGGCCACCAAGGACCAACTCCAAAAACGTCGCACGCGCTAAATGGGCGTGGCTTTATGCGAGGGAACCCTTGTTTGGTTGTTTGAGGTGGTGTAAAGGGACATGCTTGGGAACAAGACGGGGAGGCTTTTCTAGAATCCTAGAAGGCTATTGAGGACTTCTACCACTTGTTTGGGTCCTTGATTTTCATCTTTCAGGGGGGCAGGGTCGAAAAGCAAACGGTGCATGCAAACCATTGGTTGCCTGCCACATTCAGGGTTGAAAATGCAAGGGTGTAAAAATGTGGTTTCTTTTGGTTCCCTTAGCAGGGCCAAGTTTCATGTTTGGGTGTTTCGGTTACGGTTAGCACGTCAAAAAAGAGCCCTGCTACTGCCAATTTGAGTAAGCCAGACTCTAAGGCAAAAGCAAAACCTGGCAAAGGAGTCTACCCCAACATGTAAAAACTCCAACAGTCTCTGCACTTTCCTCTGGCTGGGACACTAATTTCAATAAGCACGGCATTCTTGTGACTCGAGGGTCTAGCGATGGCTTTATTTGGTCTAATTGGCGGTAAGTCGTAAACCCGATCCCCTTGGCTGCCTTGGGAAGGCTCCCCAAAGTTGACGTAGCCAGACCCAAGCCCTCCGTACAAGCAAAAGGTCCAACCTTTTGTAGTTTTAAGCTCTCTCCAAGGAAATTCGGTCACACCAACAACCTGCCACCTGTCTCTCTGCGACCCGCATGCAAGTCTCTTGCCAAAGTACGCCCCATAACAGCTCTCCTGGGCCCCGGATCCAGATTAGGCCGTGAAAGCCCAAACTTGATTCACCTGTGTGAAGGGAACCATGCTAGACTTGATCCGCGAGTTGAGTCAGCATTGTCAAATGGGCATGCATTTCATTGCATTTCAATACGGGACCTTTGGTGGACATCGTTTAGGTGGGATTTATCTCCGCCAACCACACTTCAGGGTCATAAGGCATCGACCACATCAAGCTCGCCGGTGCCACCCCCACGCGCTTGGGCAGAAACTGCTCGAAGTTCTCATCCCCGGGGCGCCCTCGAGACCAGAAGCGCGTGGAGTAGTCCTGGCGTGACTCCAAACCCAGGTCTGGCAAGATCCAAGGGGGCGGTTGGGGGTTCCAGGTGAGTTTGAGTGTTGTAACACCTCAGGGCTTAGCGGATGCCCTGTGACTTAGGAATCCCGCTTGGGATTTCTTGTTTTCTTTTCTCTTGGGGGGGTAAGTTAGGGGAGTTGTCCTGGGGTGTACCTCACAACGACGTGCTTTCACATCCCCTGACTAGATTGGCCAAACAGCAAACAAAGTGTTTGTTCACGAAAGTGACAGTCCGCAAGGACGGAACTGGGATTTCCTCGTTCAATCGGCCATGGCGGATTTGATTTCCTGGTTGCAAAGGGCAAACCAAGGTAGTCTCACATGCATATGTTGCCACGGCACAAAGCTGTTCGACTTGCAGGTCCCCTGCACCAAGCAGGGAATCAATTGTGCCCAATGCTCCAAGCCTTCGAGACGGTCCCACCGGAGATAACACCAAACTCACAAGTCAACCCTGGTGAAGGTATGCGGTATCCAGGTTTTCTTTATCCCAAGGTTCATGGCGCACTATCAAATGTGGCTATCCATGTAAAGTAAATGGGAAACTGGCACACTGCAGTGCAATGGTATCCATTTCTCAGGTTCTTGAGACACTGCCAAATATGAAGCTATGAGGACTATCCCACTCTTGGTTCCAGCATCGTCCTTGGGCTGTTCTGTCTTTTTTTGCCAGAGCAGGATGCATCTCTGGATGATCTTGACATGGCAAGGCCAAACCCTGCAATACCATACCAGGAAGCTACTCTGATGTAGAGTGCAGCAAAAGCAATCTGCAACAACCAGCTTCCGAAAGAACAAGGCGAACAAACAGCGGAACAACGCCGTGTTGGGCTTGGCCCAAATGGACCTTGTCACAAGAGTGCAGCCATTGTCCAACAGGGGCCGACCGCGTTTTGACCACCAATCATGTCTGTTGTAGCGGCTCAAGCCCAACCAGGATAATTAGCCAATGCAGGTCTACATTTCCAAATGACCCCAACCTTCAAACAAAAAAACTGGCGGAAAGGTGGATACCAAACGCTTGTTTTTTGAAAGCTCGGCGTTTCAGACTGGAGAACTAGCCGACATGAAGGCTATGTGCCGAAAGTAAATGCCAGCGCTTTGCAAGAACATCAAGGGACTTTAGCACACTCAAAGGGGCATACCAAAAAATGGTTAACCTCTCAAATTCAGGATATTCCTTTGAGTTCCAGGTCAGCTCCATGGTTGAACGCATGTTCCGGCAGCTCAGCCTAGGCGCCCTCTACACCTCAGAAAGAGTCTCAGCAAGTCAAAAAACGGTTTTAAGAGACTGATAGAACCTTCCCTGAGGGTGGCTGTAACACTTGACGGCCCCCTTGCAATGTTACACGGCATTCTGCCATGGGCGGGGCATTCGTGGGCTCCCGGCCCAACTCTGCCAGCAAAGCTCATCTTTTGCGCACAGTTCGCATACTCAGTTCGCTCCAGTGGAAGGGTCTGTTCCAAGTGGATGTGCGTCTCTGTCGCCAACCATGGCGAGCTTGCTGTGGCGATTCATACGTCAAGCTGAAAGCTAGTGAGTGCATGATTTCGTCGATGTTGCTCTCCGAAAGCCCGACAGAAATTATCACGCCCAGTTGTATATATTCAGAGCCAGCGGAAAAAGTATTGTCCTCCCTGGCACTGGTCAAGAGGGGTCTAACTGGGTATACGCCTCTGTCCGAAACCGCACATCCATACCTCCGACTCCACTAAAGTTCCATCAGCAAAAAGCTCAGCCGTCCTGTGTTTGTTCTTTGAGTCTAAATCCTGCAAATTATAATCTCAGCATCGCTACAAACTTCTGGGAACAAACGCATATTTGCCCCATGGTACAAGACTTGACACGCACACGCACACGCACACGCACACGCACACACACGCAAACCAAACAACAGCTTGGTCACAAGCTTCACACTTTTTGACGCCATTGGGCAACGGGCTGGCCAACTGCTCTCATAAATCAAGCGAAGGCAACGCACGCCTCAACACGTGCCACGCAGCTCATTTAAATCTGCACCAATTACTCAAGAGTCACCAACCTGACGAGGAACTGAGACCGTTTTCTCGTTGTACCCCCAAGGTGCAGACTTAAATGGACAGCAAGAGGCCATCCAAGGCAACGCTCTTGGAGTGTCACCTAAGCGCCAGTGTTGCGAATATAGTACCGTAGGCTGGCGGCAAACACTGGCGCAGGGGTCTAATCACAATCAGGTGGCCTGTGGGCACAAATACGCATACAAATGAACATGTATATCTAAGTGAACAGCAATATGCGAATACGTCATCAACATTTACATATTGCAGGATCGAGCAAAGGTGTACAATACGCGCACAAATGCATTTCCTAATCACAATGTGTGCATGCACTACAGAGGTAAGTAAATAAATAAACAAATAAAACAAATACATAAGTAATTATGTATATGAACATAAATTTATGAATATATATATATATATATAGACCTATACATTGTCAAAGTTCAGACATGCCTTGTGCCCAATGCACCACAAACACATCCACGGATACTTCGCAAATCAGCGCAGGCGGCCGATGGCATCCCACAAGGGCTCGTGCAGGCCAAAAAGGCAGCCTCGGCTTCGACGCCATGGACATTGCAGCAGTGACCAAAACGTGCCAGTTTTCGGGGGGTTTGCGAAATAGTTAGGAATGTTTTTTTGAGGATCGGTACCCTGTTCGGCTAGTGAGAGGGAAGCCAAAGGGGAACCGGGCCCGACTTTGCGGGGGCTGCATTTGAGGTGAGGAGCCGGGGTGGGAGCTGCCAGGCACCACAACCAGCTCCGCGTCTCCCAGCTGCTCCTGCAGCCACCTACAAGTGACCGACCACTTGCAGCTTGGGATGCCGCTGGCAGCTGCTTCTCATATGTAAAGGAATCTTCGTTTTCTCTCTTCCTTTCTCTCTCTCTTTCCATATCTCTCTCTCTCTTTCTGTTTCTCGCTCTGTCTGTCTCTCTTTCTCTTGCCCCTCTCTCTCTCTTTCTGTCTTTTCTCTCTCTCTCTCTCTGTTTCTCGCTCTGTCTGTCTCTCTTTCTCTTACCTCTCTCTGTCTCTCTCTCTCTCTCTGTTTCTCGCTCTGTCTGTCTCTCTTTCTCTCTACCTCTCTCTCTCTCTGTCTTTTCTGTCTCTCTTTCCCTCTCTCTCTCTCTCTCTGTTTCTCGCTCTGTCTGTCTCTCTTTCGATTACCTCTCTCTCTCTCTCTGTCTTTTCTGTCTCTCTTTCCCTCTCTCTCTCTCTCTGTTTCTCTCTCTGTCTGTCTCTCTCTCTCTCTCTCTCTCTGTCTTTTCTGTCTCTCTCCCTCTCTCTCTCTCTCTCTCTCTCTTTTCTCTCTGACTCCCTCTCTCTCTCTCTCTCTCTTTCTTTTTTTGTTTCTTTCTTTGATTCTTTCTTTCTCTTTCTCTCCCCCTCTCTCTCTATCTCTTTCTCTTTCTCTCTTTCCTTTTAGTTCTCTCTCTCTCTCTCTTTCTCATTTTCTCTTTTCTATTTGTCTCTCTTTCTCTCTACCTCTCTCTCCCTCCTTTTTTTTTTTCTCTCTCTCTCTCTCTCTTTCTCCCTCTCTCTCTCTTTTTCTCTGTCTCTCGCCGTGTGTGTGTGGGAAATGATTTTCACTGCACCGTTGGCATCTTGGAAACAACTTTCGCCTAACCCGCGCTATCAGTTTTCGGGGGGACGCTCCAAAGGATTTCCAAGGTAGCCGGTTTGCGGCAGAAGACATGACAGCACACGCAAAGATTTGTTTGTAGGGATTCTCAAACATTGTCACATCCCTTTGTGGTTCTCCCTCACTTCGTTTGGCGGTGATACGCCCACAAAAATCGCTGATGTTAGGCGCGGGAACGACATGCGTAAACAACCAGGCCCTGGCTCCATTTCAAATAATCGCAAAGCAGGCTGTTCAGATCGACAAAGAACTGGTGCTTGAATGTGCTCAAACGCAGGCTTGGCGCAACATTAGAAGGAAGGTTGAAAGGGTTTGACCACGTCGCCCTGGAGTAGGGGTCCCGGATATGAACGTTTCTGTGCACGAAACTGGTCATTCTTATGAGTTGTCATTACTATCACAAGTATCATAATTGTACACAATATATCCCCCCCGGGATTTCTTCAACCAAAATACAACTAAAACACAGGAGGGTCATGCCAAGCAAATGAGGAAACACAGAGTTTTCTGGAAGAGGAATAAACAGGTTCTTCTTGAAGAAGGGCCCCAAACCAGCAAAAAAAAGAAAAAAGACAAGAAAGACAGAACAAAACCAGACACCAGGATCCTCATGAAGAGAGGGCCTCAAATCAGAAAAACCAGAAAACACAAAGCACCAGGAGAAGGGTAGCTGCCTTCAGCATCTGTCTCATAGCCCTGGCTTTTTTTTCTGGTTTGGGACCATGAGGATTTGCTTTTTTGTTGTGCGTTTCTGGTTCTTCTGGCTTGGGGCCCTTCTTTTGGATGCCACCGGTTTGTTGTTCCTTTATGGCTAGTCTATTTTTCTCCTGCATACGGCCCTTCTTCAGGAGGACTCTGGCTTCCTTTTTGTGTTTTGGCTGGTTAGTGTGTTTTCTCCGTTTTTCTATTTCATTTCTGGGTGTTGGGGAGAACGCCATCCACTGCAAGCATCCGTTCTCACCCTCGTTTTAGTAATTTGCCTGCCTCTGAAAACGAGTGAAAAACCAATAGAAATGCAGGGCAACTGCGATGTCAGTTCTATTGTCCTACACGATTCTAACTGCAAGGCTTGGCGTTTGAGTAGGACTTTCAGTAGAACTCAATGGGAATTCTCATTTTCATTAGATTCTAAGTAGGAGTTCCTTTCTAAGCAGGATGTGATTGGAAATGGCTGATAATTCAAAATAGAACCTGGTTTGACAATAATTCTGAGTTGGAATGCATATTTCCAACGATTCCTTCCAAGTAGGATTCTAGTGGAGTTGGCAAAGAAACCCCAGGAAAACAGGC